AAATATTAATTTTGATATTCGCGAGGCCCGCGTAAGATTATAGATTTTACTATAACAAACGTGTAATTATATTTTGATTTTAAAGACAAAAGTAGACATAAGCTAACTGTCACAGGATTTTTTGAGGACATACACTAATAGATCTTGTGTTTCTTAATGCGTTCTTGTAACCGATGAGATTAGGAGTTGAGATAGCTGGATTATAAGCATGCAGACGCGTAAGGGTGACGCGTAATAGCTTTGAAATACGCAAATTAAACACTACGTAGTAATAGATACTGTTTAAAGAGTATAATCTTAGGCTAACACAGAAGCAATAACTTTGACTTTTTTATTGAGGCTAATAAACTCTACAATCTGTGAACTTTTCTGATTTAGCAAGTAATGTTGATGGTCCACATATCTAAAATAATCAATCACGTTGATCATGCCACATTTATTTATCCCTTTTCATCTTTAGTAAATTTTGCAAACGATCAAGTTCCTTCTTCTCCCTTTCCAAAGCCTTGAGCATATTATCGAGTTCTTCTTCATAAACTTTCTTCTTTTTAAGAACGGATCCCAAAGTTTCCTTCTTTTTAGGTTCTTTATATTCTTTTAGGTTAGGTAATTCATCACTTTTGTTTAGATCTATTGTGGTGAAATTTTGAGAAAGATTTAATGATTTCAATGTTTGACTTGGTGAAATTTCTATTGATTCGATTCTATCAATTTTGAGGTGTACTAATAAAGGATATGGTTCAGTGGAAAAATGATTGGTTATAGTATAACCTGATATGACTAAATTTTCAAGTTGTGGGATATCGTTATTCAAAAAAGTTAAAAATTCATCATAAGTCATAGGGGAAGTAAATTTTGTAGCAATTTTCAAAGCTTTCAAAATTTTGAATGAACAATTTTGAATCAGATGATGATTTTTTCCACTAGTTTCTATTTCTAATTTTGTTAACAAAGGTAAAGAAATCCCACTAAACCCAGATATTGATTTCATATTTTTTAAAACTAATGACCTTAATGAATTTTGTGATCCAATTTTGGAAATGTTGAAATCTGGACATGATGATATATTTATGGTTTGTAAGTTGGAAGGAATGTGGAACAAGTGATATAAATCATCAAGTGGTATACCCTCTATCTTTAAATTCTCCAATTCAGGGAATGATGATTCTATATTAGAAATATCAAATTTTCCAAGTTCATTACTATCCTTAATGGAAAGAGTTTTAACTTTTGGAAATGTCATTTCAGATTTCAATATTTCTATAGTGTTGGTAAGGATAATTGTTTCAAGTTTATCAGAAGTTTTCAAAATATTGCCAAATGTATCTAAATGTGAATAAGAAAATGTAGTGGAATTAATTTTAGCAGCTTTTAAAGAAGGGAATCCCAAGTTTGAAATCTTATTAATTTTGAATGAACTTGTAAGATTGAAATTTTCTAAGGTTGATGATTGTATGTTTTCAATCGTGAAATTTATGTGTTTCATTTGTTTCTTTTTTAAAACATGATGTGGTGAAGAAAGATCAATTGAAACATTAATTATTGAATCTAATTTCAAATTTGAAATTTCATAAATTGCACTGTTCTTAATATCCAAGCTCCTAAGTTTTGGTAAATCCAAGTTATTAATTGAATGAATTGATGAAGAATCAATAACCAATTTCTCAAGGTTTGATACTTGTAAATTATCAAATAATTTGAACTTTTTATTATGGAAATATTTCAATTGAAAGTATTTCAAAAAATCCAATGGTCTCTCCATATTGGTTTCAAAAAATTCAGTCAGTTTAGATTTTTTACGGCCATCTTCTAAAAATCCCAGTACCCTATTGAATTCATAATCTTCTTCATCAAGGTAAATGTTAGGATCGTAACAAAATTCATGATCAAAAGTAATATTTATTTTTTCTAAATCTGGCACAGTAGCTCTAATACCTGGAATTGAATAACCTTCAAGTTCATCAAGATAAAGAGATTTGGCAAATGGTATTTGTAATACATTGGAAGGAATACCTCGTGGAATATCTGAAACGTCATATACTTCATATGGTTGATCATTTTGTGCTTTCTCATGATCTTTATCTTTTAGCTTTTTATCAAATTCATTTTCAGTTCTAAGAAGTATATTAATTTTTTTCAATCTTTGACCTGAAGTTCCAAACATATTAGTGAAAAAATCAAAATCGACTCTTGAACTATGCCAATAAATTTCAATGGGATCATGTTTTAACAGATGATAATCAAATTTGTTCAACATTGTTCTAACATCATAAATCTCAATAAGTATAGCACCTTTAAACCCTTTTAATAAAGATGGATCTAAGACTCTATTGTTTCGTTCCTTTATGAAATAATCTCTGCTCAATCTATTATACTCAAAATAATCAGCCTCACTTTCAATGTTTTTAATTTCCATACTGCATTTATAATCCAAGAAGAAATCATCAGATAAACCATATTTCAATTTTAGGTTTGGTACATCATTGGTCACAATCTTGAAAGCATCTGAAGTGATTAAATGTTTCAATTCTGGAACATTTTGAACAATATTCAAAAGATCTGATGGGTATGAATATTGGAAAATTAATCTCTGGATTTCTGGAGGGAACCCAGTGAAGTTCATAATGTTTGACCAAATACCTAGAGATGATTGAATTATATCTGATTGAATGTTGATGTGTTTAATTAATACCGCGTATGGTTGAATATTAAATTTCATATTTGTTACGAGAAACATCTCAAATTTTTTTGGAAATTATATAAATACTCAAGAAAATCCACGTTTATTGAAGGAACTACAAACCACAATTCCACTGTGACTATGTTATAACTTTTAGTTGTTTCATATATCTTTTGTTTTTCCTTTCCATAACATTCATCCGATCCTGCGAAGCTTACCTTATCAATGGACTCGCTTCCAATTGTTTGCTCATAACCTGTTGTAGAGCTTCAGTTTCGTTAGATATTTGGTACGTAACTAATAAAGTGAGTATATCAAGAAAAGAAGGTATAAAGAAGCTGTGATTTAAACATTGTATCACATCAGACTTAAAGAAACCAATTCAATTTGAATTAATATTCATTACTACATTGTTCATATTAACACTATGACGTGTATTTAATTAAATATATTGACCTCATCTTTTTCTCATATTATTGTAGCCAATCGAATATTGCAATTATTATTCTTCGTTCAAAGCTATCAGTATATATATATGTACATTTATTAATATAACTAGGGTATTTATATGTTATATATCATATAATTTGTCCATTTTGATCATTTTTTCCTTCTTTTGTTGCCTACTTTTCGATTCATAGTACCAGGTTCTTTATATTCCTTTAAATTAGGTAATTGATCACTCTTGTTTATTTCTATTGTAGTGGGATTTTTTGAAAGATCAATGGTTTTTAATGTATTACTCGGTGAAATTTCTATGGACTTGAGTGTAGCAATTGTGAGCTCTTCTAAAGCTGGATATGACTCAGTGGAAAAATGATTTGTTATTTGATACCCTGATACAATCAAGTTTTGAAGTTTTGGCATATGATTATTCGATAATGTTAAAGTGGGTAATTTATAAATTTGATAGACCGAATGCGTATTAATTGTTAATGTTTTCAAATTTTCGAATGAATAATTCTTCAGGCAGAGATCAACTTCACCTCTTGTTTCTAATTCCATAATTTGTAATGAAGGTAATGAAATATTGTTATAAAAAGTACCTTTGACTGAGTAAATATCCTTTAAAATTAATGAATTTAATAAATTTTGAGGTTCAAGTTTTGACATGTCGAAATATAGACATGACGATATATTAAGCTTTCTCAAATTTGGAATATTGTGGAAGAATGAATATAAATTATCAAGTGGAATACTCTCTATAATTATATTTTCCAATTGTGGAAATGATGAATCAATAATACCTTCAAAAGATCTATTAGTGCTAATATGATTTGACTTAATTTCTAAGGTTTGTAAAGACGGGAAATCAAGTTTTGAAATTTCCTTAATCTTGAATGAACTAGTAAGACTGAATCTCTTTAAACTTGATGATTTTATATTTTGAATTGAATGTACTTGGCCCACTTGATCTCTCATTACATGATGTGGTATTTTGATTTCTATTGAAAAATCTTGTAAGGAATTTAAATTCAAATTTGAAATTTCATAAATTGAAGAATTCTTTATATCCAAAGTTTTAAGATTTGGTAAATTCAAATCTTTAATTGAATGAATCGTTGAGGAATCAATAACCAACTTCTCAAGATTAGTTATTTGTAAATTTTCAAACAAGTTAAAATTTCTATTATGGAAATATTTCAATTGGAAACTTTTCAAAAAATCAACGGATCTCTCTATTTTTGTTTCAAAAAATGCATCTAACGCATATTGTTCATATTCTGGTGAAAAATCTTCTCCATTATAATCAGGATCATAAAAAGATTCCACTAATCCTAATGTGGGAGTAGATTTATGTAAATCTTTAAAGTAACCATCATCAACATCCTCAAAAGCAATGTTAAGTGATTCAAAATTTGGCATAATAGTTTTCATATCTGTAATTGAATAACCTCTACGTTCATCAAAACTAAAGTGAAGTGATTTGACAAATGGTATATGTAGTTTGTTGGGAGGTATACCATGCGGAAGGCCTGATAACTCATATTGTTCATATGGTTTATTTTTAATTTCATCTTCAGCTCTAATAAGTACTTCAATCTTTTTCAATCTAGTGCTTTGACTTGTTTGAATAACACTGTGGAGAAGATTAAAATTATTGTATTTTGTATTAGTATGCCAAATAATTTCAATAGGGTCGTGCTCTAATAAATGATCATCAAATTTGGTTAAAGAAGCTTTTTCTCGATAAATTTCAATTAGTATGGCACCTTTGAAACCTTTTAATAAAGATGGATCTAAAACTCTATTATTTGTTTCCTTTTCCCAAAAATCATTTTCCAATTTTCTATAAGTATCATAATCATAACCAACATTTCGAGCTAGGTTACATCTATATTCCAAGTAGAAATCATCAGATAAACCATATTTCAATTTGAGATTTGGCACATCATTAGTAACAATCTTGAAAACATCTGAAGTGATCAAATGTTTCAATTCTGGAACATTTTGAGCAATATTTAAAATATCTGATGGGTATGAATATTGGAAAATTGATTTCTGGATTTCTGGAGGGAGCCCAGTGAAGTTCATAATGTGTGATTCTGTCTAGAGATGGTTTATTGATGAAGAGTTATATATCTGATTGAATGTTTTAATACCGCGTATGGCTTACAAGTAATTTTCATATTCGTTACGAGAAGCATCTCAGTGTTTTTTTGGAAATTATATAAATACTCAAGAAAATCCACGTTTACAAAAATCATAAAAGGTCAAGTCATTGAACGACAACCCACAATTCCACTAGTATCTATGTTATAACTCTGATTAATTTTGCCAAAGCCTTGCTTAACCGTTTTCGTTGCTACTGATTTCTACTTGGAGGCTTATCCTATCAATGGACTCGCTTCCAAGTCTCATAACCTGTTGGATTACAGGTCCAGCTTATATTGGTGATTTGCTACGTAATTATTAAAGTGAGTATATCAAGAAAAACAAGTATAAAGAAGTTGTGATTTAAATATTGTATTATATCAGACTTAAAGAAACCAATTCAATTGGAATTAATATTCATTACTACATTGTTCATATTAACACTATGACGTGTATTTAATTAAATATATTGACTACATCTTTTTTTCATATTATCATTGTAGTCAATCAGATCAAATCTAATTAGTCTTCACAAACTTTCTAGCTTATATATATTCATTGATATAATATCTAATATGGTATATGTACGAGTCTATATCATCTATGTTATATATCATATTGCCCAATATTTTGATCATTTTTTCCTTCTTTTCTTACCTACTTTTCGATTTATAGTACCAGGTTTTTTATATTCTTTTAAATTAGGTAATTGATCACTCTTGTTTATTTCTATTATAGTGGGATTCTTTGAAAGATCAAGCATTTTTAGTCTATTACTTGGTAAAATTTCTATGGACTTCAGTTTAGCAATTGTGAGCTCTTCTAAATCTGGATATGGTTCAGTAGAAAAATGATTTGTTATTTGCTGACCTGATATGGATACTTTCTTAAGTTGTGGAATATCATTATTCAAAAATGTTAAAGTTGAATCTTGAATGTAATATAAAGCTGAATTTCTATAAATTGCTAATGTTTTCAAATTTTTAAATGAGCAATTTTCCATGGAGAGGCGAGTTTCAGGTATTGTTCGTATTTCCATGTTTTGTAGTGCAGGTAATGAAATTTTATTGAAATCTTGGATTGATTGCATACCAGTTAAAATTAATGACTCTAAAGCACTTAAAGATCCCATTTTTTCAATGTTAAAATCTGGACATGATGATATACTGATGTTTTTCAAATTTGGACTATTTTGGAATAATGGGTATAGTTTATCAAGTAGGAATTTCTCTATGATAATATTTTCCAATTGTGGGGACGCTAAATTAATAAGACGTTCAAAAGCTTTATTAGAGACATTATATGATCTAATTGTGATGGTTTGTAAAGATGGGAATTCCAAATCTGAGATTTTTTTAATCTTGAAAGAACTAGTAAGACTGAACGTTTTTAAACTTGATGATTTCATATTCTGAATTGTTGGGCGTATATGATCAAATCGGTCTCTTAATGAAATGAGATGTGCATATTTAAGTTCTATTGAAAATTTTTGTAAAGAATTTAATGACAAGTTTGATATTTCATAAATTGCACTGTTCTTGATATCCAGGGTTTTCAGATTTGGTAAATCCAAATCTTTAATTGAATTGATTGATGCAGAATCGATAAGCAACTTCTCAAGATTTGATAATTGTAAATTTTTAAACAAGTTAAATCTGCTATTATGGAAATATTTTAATTGGAAATATTTTAAAAAATCGAAGGACCCCCCAACATTTGTTTCAAAAAACTCATCTAATCCAGATTTATCATATCCCAAAGAAGGTCCACTCCAAGAAGGATCAACCCAAGGTTCATTCCAATCTTCCACCAACCCTAATGTGGAAGTAGATCCATGAAACTTTTTGTTAATGTAATCATCATAAATATCCTCAAAAGCAATGTTAACTGATTCTAAATCTGGTATAACAGTTTTCATATCTGTAAGTGAATAACCACTAAGTTCTTGAAAACTAAAATGAAGTGATTTAACAAATGGGATATGTAATTTGTTAGAAGATATACCAAGCGGAAGGCTTAATATTTCATATTGTTCATGTGATTTATTATTAAGTTCATCATCAGCTCCAATAAGTATTTTAAGTTTTTTCAATCTAGTCCTTTGACTTGCTTGAACAAACCCATGGAGAAATTCGAACTTGTTGCATTTTGTACTAGTATGCCAAAAAATTTCAATAGGATCGTGCTCTAATAAATGATCATCAAATTTGGTTAAAGATGCTTTGTGTTGATAAATCTCAATTAGCAGAGCACCTTTGAAACCTTTTAATAAAGATGGATCTAGAACTGTATTATTTGTTTCCTTTTCATAATACTCATTACGCAACTTCCTATAAGTATCACGATCAACATTTCGGTCTAGATTACATTTATAATCCAAGTAAAAATCATCAGATAGACCATACTTCAATTTAAGTTCAGAAAGATCATTAGTAACAATTCTAAAGATATCTGAAGTAATCAAATGTTTCCATTCTGGAATATGTTGAACGATATTTAGTAAATCTGATGGGTATAATTGTTTAATGATTGAAACTTGGATCTCTGTGGGCAGTTCAGTGAAGTTCATGATTGAATTAATATTGTGATCTTAAATGAAGTCACCATTGAGAGCAGCAATTGATTTATTCTTTCTACCTTAGAAGTAGATCTGAAATCTGGATCCAGGACTTGATAGACTGCAGCTAAATTAAATGGTGGATCAATATTAATTTTCATTTACTCGACGTTACGGGAAGCATCTTACAAATTGTAAAAAAAATCAGTTACCCCAGAAACAAGCTACTTAATTTATTCGAAACTTTAATAATCTAATTGAACAATTTTAGTTTTGATCTTATCCGTTAATTATGTACTAAATTTTTATTTATAATACATTCCATAATCAGTTATCTGCTGAGACGTATGATTGATCACTTTAAATGAATCTCATTTTGCTATCACTTTCTGAAATATTTAGGGTTTCTAGTGTATTACTTAGTGAAATTGCTATCGATTTGGTTCTATCAATTGTGAGCTCTTCTAAGAATGGATATGGCTCAGCGGAGAAATGATTTGTTAACTCATAGCCTGATATGAATAATTTTCGAAGTTGTGGAATATCATTATTTAAGAATGATAAAGTAGCATCATAAGTTGGAAAGAAAAGATATGTATCAATTATCATTGTTTTCAAATTTTTAAACGAACAATCCTCTATAGAGAGATGAATTTTTCCAACTGTTTGAATATCCAAATTTGTTAACATTGGTAATGAAATTCCATTCAAACCTTGTATAGATTTCATATTTCTTAAAGTTAATGAATTTAATGAGTTTTGAGACCCCATTTCCTTAATGTTGAAAGTTGGACATGATGATATATTTATAGTTTTCAAATTTGAGTTATTCTGGAATAACGAGTAATATAAATTTTCAAGTGGAATTTTCTCTATAGTGATGTTCTCCAATTGAGGAAATGGTGAGTTGGTAATATCAAAATATTTATTAGAATTATTAGTTGATTTTATTGACATTCTTTCTAGAGATGGGAAATCAAGTTCTGAAATTTTTTTAATTTTAAATGAAGTCACAAGGTTGAATTTTTTTAAACTTGATGATTTTATATTATGAATTATGGGGTGAATATTTCCCAAATATTGTTTATTTTCAAGAGAAGAATGTGGTGCTGAAAGTTTAATTGATAAATCTAGCAAGGAATTGAAGTTCAAATTTGAAATTTCATAAATTGCAGATTTCTTTATACTTAGTTGTTTAAGATTTGGTAAATTCAAGTTTTTTATTGACTGAATTGTTGAAGAATCAATAATCAACTTTTCAAGATTTGATACTTGCGAATTATCAAACAATTTGAATTTCTTATTATGAAAATATTTCAATTGGAAAGCTTTTAAAAAATCCAAAGGTGCCCCTATAGATGATTGAAAAAATTCATCTAATATAGATTTCTCATTCCAAGAAGATTCACCCAAATCTTCTAAGAATCCTAATATGGTAGTAGATATATAACCTTTTTTTTTAAGGTACCAATGGTACTCTTCATGAGATTCATCATCAAAAACCAAATTAATTGATTCTAAATTTGGCATAATAGTTTGGATGTCTGTAATTGAATAACTTTTAAGTCCACGAATACCTCTAACTTCATCAAGACCGAAATGAAGTGATTTAACAAATGGGATATGTAACTTATTGGGAGGTATACGATGTGGAAGGTTTAATAATTCAAATTGCTCAATATCTGATTCATTATTAAGCTCGTTTTCAGTTTCAATTAGTATTTGTAGTTTATTCAATCTGGTAATGTTAGCTGAAGATTGAAACAAATCATTGAAAAATCTAAATTTGTTGATTTTTGTACTAGTATGCCAAACAACTTCAATTGGATCATGTTGTAATAAATGATCATCAAATTTGGTAAGGGAATATGCTTTTTGCTCATATAGTTCAATCAATATAGCACCTTTGAAGCTTCTTATTAAAGATGGATCTAATATTTTGTTATTTCTCTCACGTTCATAATAATCTCTAATCAATTTATAATAAGTATCATAATCAACATTTTCATCTATATTACATTTATAATCCAAGTAAAAATCATCAGGCAACCCATATTTTAATTTAACTTTTGGTAAATCATTAGAAACAATTCTGAAGATATCAGAAGTGATCAAAGGCTTCAGCTCTGGGATGTGTTGAAGAATATTTAGCAAATCTGATGGAGAAGAATGTTGTAAGACTAATATTTGTATTTCCGGAGGGAACTCAAAAGACTTCATAATGAACTTCAATTGACAATCAGACAACGGCAGCCTCGTTTTCTGTATATAATAGGTATAATTGTATCTGACCTGTTTAATCACATTGAATAAGAATTAGCAACATGACTCAGCGGTTATGTTAACATATTAAAAGAAAGCTGAAAGTATGATCCTGCGATAAATTCTCATTTTCATAATGTTCTCAATATATTTCTATACCGTACCTTACATAAGCACATCATATTTTAGATGTAATTGACTTCTTCACTTTTATTAAACACAAAAATAAGCATTAGGCTGATCTTTGCCTTAACTACTCTCATAACCATAAAATTTTCATATGGATTGTGCAGAAATATATTCATTATCATGATCGATCAAGTTTTAAACCCGGATGACAATGGAACATGCCGGCGTATAACAATTTGTTATTTTAGCTACAAAATTGATTTCCATATCAGATGATCATGATCATATTGGTAATGTTGCAGTACGTGTGATAATAATATACTACTATAATATATTCATTTTGTTTTTAATGATATAATCATTCATATTCGCGTTCCATATTCATCAAATTGGGTAAAAATCTCACTAGAACTAATTATAGACAATCTTTTTCAATTCTCAAATAAAATCAATTAGTAATTTAGTAAAAGCCTTCACCTAGTTCAATTTTCCTCTTTTTAAGAATGGTTTCAAGATCTTCCTCCATCATAGGTTTTCTATAGTCGTTTAGGTCAAGATCTTCCTCCATCATAGGTTTTCTATAGTCGTTTAGGTTAGGTAATTTATCACTTTTGTTTATATTCATTGTTGTGTAATTTTCAGAAAGATCTAGGATTTTCAGTTTATCACTTTGTGAAATTTGTATTGATTCAATTCTAGAGATTGATATTTCTTTTAAGTTTGGGTATGGTTCAGTGGAGAAATGATTTGTTATATCAAAACCTGATAATGATAATTTTTCAAGTTGAGGAATATTATTATTCAAAAATGTTAGAGTTGAACAATAAACTGGATTGAAAATAAATTCTGTATAAATTGTTAATGTTTTCAAGTTTTCGAATGTACAGTTTTCCATTGAAAGAGGAGTTTCACCGCTAGCTGCTTCTAAGCGCATAGTTCTTAATGTAGGTAATGAAATCCCATCGAAACCTTGGAACAATTCTATATCCCCCAAACTTAATGTCTCTAAGGAATTTTGAGATCCAATTTTTGTAATGTTGAAAGATGGACAACTCGCTATATGAATGTTTTTCAAATTTGGTATACCCTGGAACAATGCATATAGATTATCAAGTGGTATGAAACGTAATGTTATATTTTCTAATTTCGGGAATGATGAATTGATAATACCTTCAAAAGAACCATTAAAGTCATTACCTGACCAAATTGATAAACTTTGTAAATATGGGAACTCCAAATTTGAAATTTCTTCAATCCTGAATGAACTAAGAAGCGTGAAGCTTTTCAAACTTGATGATTTAATATTTTGAATTGTTACATGTACTTCATTATCTTCTTCTTCTAATTCAAAAGTAAATTGAGTTGGTTTAATATCAATTGAAAATTCTTCTAAAGAATTTAGCTTCAAATTTGAAATTTCATAAATTGCAGATTTCTTAATCCTAAATGATTTAACATTTGGTAAGTCTAAGTTCTTAATTGAATGAATCGTTGAAGAATCAATAACCAAATTTTCAAGATTTGATACTTGTAAATTTTTAAATAGGTCAAATTTTTCATTATGGAAATATCTTAATTGGAAGTCTTTCAAGAAATCCAAGGATCCCTCTATAGTTTCAAAAAAATAATCTAATTGAGATTTTTCATAAGATATATTCAAACCTTCTTCAAGTCCTGCTATGTCAATAGATCCATCTTCATAATTTTCATAAACATCTTCAAAAGACATGTTAAGTGATTTTAAATTCGGCATAATAGTTTTGATATCCTTAATTGAATAACCTCCAAGCTCATCACCAAGACTTCCAAGCCCTTCATAAGGAGCTCCAATACCTCTAATCTCTTCAAAACCAAGATGAAGTGATTTAACAACTGGGATATGTAGTTTATTGGAAGGGATACGATGTGGAAGATTCTGTATTTCATATGGTTCATCTAATATCTCTTGAAAATCCATTTCAGTTCCAAAAAATATAGTGAGTTTTTTCAATCTAGTAATATGATCTAAAGTTGGAAAAAAATCATGGAAAAATCTAAAATGTTTTCGAGCTCTTGTAGTATTCCAAACAAGTTCAATTGGATCATGTAATAATAAATGATCATCAAATTTGGTCAAGCATGTCAAAATATCATTAATTTCAAACAATATAGCACCTTTAAACCCCATTAATAAATATGGATCTAAAACTGAGTTATTTCTTTCAATTTCAATATAGTCTCTAAGCAATTCAAGAGAAGTATCACGATCAACATTTGGGTCTATATTACACTTATATTCCAAGTAAAAATCATCAGGTAACCCATATTTCAGTTTAACACTTGGTAAATCATTAGAAACAATTCTGAATACATCTGAAGTTATTAAATGATTCCATTCTGGAATATTTTGAATGATGTTTAAAAGGTCTGATGGGTATGAATGTTGAAAGATTAATTTTTGGATTTCCGTGGGCATTTCAATGAAGTTCATAGTTGGATCTAGAGATGGTTTGTGATCAGCGACATGAACCGAGTAGCTAAATTGACTTTTTTTTGTATAATTAAATTGAATAATTGATTCTTGGACATGACATGATTGAATTAATAATTAATAACATATTGTATTGAATTAGAATTAGACTTGCTTTCAATATAGTTCTCATGTGTTACGGGCAACATCTGAATAAAGTCATAACGTCTTGATTAAAAATATAAATATTCTCACAAACGTTTGCAAAGTTTTGAAGAAGCTGCTGATCAGAGATCTTCTCCTTTGAATTGTGAGGCTTTTACAATCAATTATATCAAATCCGATGTAATCTTTTGTCTTTCGTATATATAGTTATAGCTCAACGCTCAGATAGCTTTGTACTTAATTTAAAGATATTTTGGAAACGTACGTACGTACATAATTAAACGTCTTTTAATTTGAATTATGATCATGATATTACAATATTATAAGATTTAAGCACAGTATATAATATTGAACTATAATATATTCAGTTTGGTTATAATGTGTGAATCAATTATATATTTCCATATTAATCATCATATTGGGTAAATATATCAGAACTAATCAAGTCAATCTTTTTCGATTCTGAAAAAAAATCAATGAGTAAATTAGTAAACATCTTCACCTAGTTCAATTTTCCTCTTTTTGAAAACGGTTTCATAATATTCATCCTCACAAGGTTCTCTATATGTTTGTAAGTTAGGTAATTCATCACTCTTGTCTATTTTCATACTGGTGAAATTATCCCAAAGATTTAGCATTTTTAGTTTATTACTTGCTGAAATTTGTATTGATTTTATTCTATCAATTTTGATTCCTTCTAGCTCTGGGTATGGTTCAGTGGAGAAATGATTAGTTATATTAAAACCTGACAATGATAATTGTTCAAGTTGAGGAATATCATTATTCAAGAATGTTAAAGTGGAAGAATAATCACTGGAAGGATATTCTGTATAAATTGCTAAAGTTTTCAGATTTTCGAATGAACAATTTTCCATAGAGAAAGAAGTTTCACATCCTGCTGTTATGCACATGGTTTGTAAAGAAGGTAATGAGATTCCATCAAAACCTTGTAACGATTCTATACCCCTTAAACTTAACGATTCTAATGAATTTTGAGATCTAATTTTTTTAATGTTGAAAGAGGAACAGGCCACCATATGAATATGTTTCAAATCTGAACAACCCTGGAACAATGAATATAAATTATCAAATGGTATGTTAAATATAGTTAGATCTTCTAATTTTGGGAATGATAAATTCTTAATACCTTCAAAAGAATCATAATTAGCTGAATCACTAGTTGGATGAATTTTCATGGTTTGTAAAGATGGGAAATCCAAATTTGATATTTCTTTAATCTTAAATGAACTAAAAAGAGTGAAGTTTTTCAAACTTGATGATTTAATATTTTGAATTGTTACATGTACTTCATTTTTTTGTTCTTCTTCTAATGTAAAATGTGGTGTTAGAATCTGAATTGAAAAATCTTCTAAAGAATTTAATTTCAAATTTGAAATTTCATAAATTACAGATTGATTGATTTCAAATGATTTAAGATTTGGTAAATTTAAATTTTTAATTGAATGAATTGTTGCAAACTCAATGACCAATTTTTCCAGATTTGATACTTGTAGATTGTTGAACAATTTGAAATTTTTATTATGGAAATATCTTAATTGGAAACTTTTCAAAAAATCTAAGGATCCTTCTATAGTTTCAAAAAAATCATCTAATTTAGATCTTTCATCCACAGAAGATATTTCCCAATCTTCATCAAATCCTAATATGGGATTAAAAAATCTCCATGTACATCCAGACTCATCTTCATAATCATCATTAACATCATTGAAAGACATGTTAAGTGACTCTAAATCTGGCATAATAGTTTTGATTTCATTGATTGAATGACATCTAATTTCATCATCAAGACCTTCAGGTGCTCCATAATAACCTCCAAGACCTCTAATTTCTTCAAAACCAAGGTGAAGTGATTTAACAAATGGAATATGTAATTTATTGGAGGGTATACGATATGGAAGATCTTGTATTTCATATGGTGTTTCTAAAAAACTTTGGTAACCTATTTCAGGTCCAAGATTTATTGTGAGTTTTTTCAATCTAGTAATACACTCTAAATTTGGGAAAAAATCATGGAGAAACTTAAAACGTGCTCGAGCTAATTTTGTAGTATTCCAGATAAGTTCAATAGGATCATGTAATAATAAATGATCATCAAATTTGGTCAAGCATTCCCAGGCGCTTTCATTAATTTCAATTAATAAAGCACCATTAAACCCCATTAATAAAGATGGATCCAAGACTGAGTTATCTCTTTCAATTTCAAAATAATCTTTAAGTAATTGAAGATAAAGATGACGATCAACGTTTGGATTTATGTTACAATTATAATCCAAATAGAAATCATCAGATAGTCCATATTTTGATTTAAAACTTGAATAATCATTAGAAACAATCCTGAACATATCTGGAGTGATTAAATGTTCCCATTCTGGAATATTTTGAATGATCTTAATGAAATCTGATGGGTATAAATGTTGAAAGATTGAAGAATGGATCTCTGTGGGTAGCTCGGTGAAGTTCACCATTATGATAGTTATTTTTCTTGAAAGTGACTTAAATTATCACCGGGAAAATCAGCAATTGATCATAATATTTCTTGTAAATAGTAGATTGAAATCAACTTTGTCCTTATAAATTTTCATACTCGTTAAGGGAAGCATTGAACGAATAAAGCGATATTCTTGATGGATTTTTGTGAAAAGACTTGAAAGCAAGATTTCACCTTGATAGTTGTACGTTATCCATATCAAGCATGACTTTATTGAATGCTTTTATTTAAATAATCCAATTCAAGCACAGAAATTATCCAATTATGTTTTTGTATAGAGAAATCAAGAAAGTGTTGATATTAAAATCAAGAATTCGCGCATTTATATAAAAACTATTATCGCGTATAAACAAACCAAAACAACAATCTACAACAAACAACAATCAACAAACAACATCAATCAACCATCAACTAAAACAACAATCTCATAAACAACAAACACCAACAATGCCACCAAGATCCCGTGCCTCAACACCAAACCGCCTTCATACCCGTTCCTCCATGATCCATGCCTCACCAGGTCTTCATCATCCCATCTCAACATCAACAACACCATTAGATTCATCCCTAAATTCATTTATTGAATTAAATGATTCCCTTAATGATTTCGATAAAAATTTCCATAAGATTCATGATATTCATCAAGATTTAACAAGTTTTAATGAAAGTTTTAGTAGTTTTTTATATGGATTACAAGTTAATGCATATATTGTGGAATTTAATGAAATTCCTGAAGATTTAAAGAAATTTGATAACTTGGATATTGATTCTAAAATTGAGAAATTAGAACAAGAATTAAATCAAAAACCAATCACTAAGGTTATAGAAACAAAAGATGAAACTGGGGATATTGATGAAAGTTTGGGGACTGATGCTGATGGTTCTTTTATTATACAACCAAAATCAAGATTATCAGAACAAGGAAGAAGGATAAGGGAGACTTCAAGAACACAACAAGCACAACCAGCAAGAAGTCGAACAACAAGCACGAGTACCACAAGTACAAACCCAAGAACAACAACAAGACCAAGAACAATACCTACAACAACAAAAAATTCTCGTATACCAGTGGGGAAACGTAAAGATATAAATCAAAGACCACCATTTAGATAAAACTACTACAAGAGGATATAACATAAAATCATTAATTTATTTTGTATAAAATTGTATATATATAATAATAACTTTTTTGAAATGCAATATAAAACAAAAGTACTTTTGAAAGTGTATATGGTATGATAATAAATAGGATTAAAAAGTCCGGCTTTTATGTGTTGTGTTGTATGTGATTTGTTGATTTCATTGTAATTTGTTGATTTCATTATAATTTGTCAATTTCATAATAATTTAGCTGGCGCTAAATTATATTTTATATTATAGTCCTCAACCTTTCTTCCAATTCATTATTTAAATTCTTCATATCAAATTCTTTAAACCCCAACCCAAATTCATCAAAATTTTGTAAAGGAGTTAATAAATTAGAATTTAAACTTGATATACTTGAATTATTTGATCTTGATAATTCTAATGATGGTAATTGAACTTGATGTTGAATTTCAATCTTGGTTAAATCAACTTGATAAGGATTTGGATTTATACAAATAATTTCATTATTTAAATCAAATGATGAATATGAATGATCTTTTGAATATTGTAAAATTTTAAAATATTTGAATAAACCATTTATAAGGAATTGATCTTGGGTTTGAATTAATAAATCATTTGAAAGGGATTCTATATCTAATATTAAATCATGGATTTGATCTAATGTATGTAATTTTGGAATTTTTTTATGAATAATTGATGTACAATCACTTGATTGATCATCATTTGACATGATTGTTAAATTTGAATTATTAATCATTAAATCTGATGAAATTTGATTAAAATTTAAATTATTTATTGATAACCATATAGATTTTTTGGTAACATTATAATGTTGTAAGAAATTTGTTAATAATATTGAATAAATCCCATTGATATTAAATTTTTGTAAATTATGAATATTTATAATTTTTAAATATTGTAAATGATTTGAAATTAATTCTTGAGATGAAACAGATTCATAAATAGATTCATAATTTAAAACTCTTTTTTTAAAATCTAATAAAGCATCAGTTTGATCAATATTTTTATAATCAGGACCATTTAATTTTAATTTTATATTTGATTCAATAATATCTAAATCATTACAAATACTTTCCAAAAAGCAAATACTATAATCCTCCGTTGTATAATCTTGATTTGACATATATGAATCAATATTTTGAATGATTAATTCTCTTCTTGATTTTGTTGAATTTGTCGCATCAAAAATTGCAACATTATGATCATCATCTTGAGTAATCCAATTTAATAAATCATTTAAAGTAGCCAAGGCTAATTGATTTCTTAGGGCAACATTACTTTGCTCCATTGGATTGAAAAAATCAGAATTTTGTTTGATATTTGAAGTATTTCCAACATTTGAATCAATTAAATTTAATCGACGTTTATTACCAACGTTAAATATTTTATTTTGGATATTTAACCAATTTAGATAATTTGAAACTTTTTTAGTGATGTAAGATTTCCCTCTAGCGGGCAGTCCCACCATAACAATGATAAGTTTTTGTTGCATATTATAACTTTATAACTCTATGATATTTGGTGTTCTTGTTGTTGTTCTTGTTGATGATGTCGAAGTGGCGGTTATTCAATATTTATACAATTCAATTATGACTGATTTAAGAAATTTAACGTCATTAATTTTTCCCACAAACAGAAAAAAGAATTTACGGAGAAATTTTAATGAGTGAAAAATTAACAGAAAATAAAAAAAAAAAGCTGATTACGTTTCTCCGGTTTTGCACAAATTAATCAACAGGAGAAATGGAAGTGGTTGAGTTGAGTCATAGTGATAAGGGAGATAGGAGTAGACTAGTAGAATAGGGTGTAGAGTAGCAGTGTGTAGTATTATAGTTTAGTGTTGTTATTGTATTGTCTATGGAACATTCATATCCGTTATTATTTCCCCAATCAATGTTAAAATTCTCGTGTTTATACAAAGTGGAGACACAAACAATGCGGAACGTTACTCAATCAGGAATTAATAGTCGATGAGTATTGCTTTTGAACTTTGTTTGATGAGTAGTGTTTAGTATATAGTGTTGTTGTAGTATAGTATTGTAGTGTATTGTATATTATAGTAGCTTTAGTTGTTTTGTAGTATATGAGTTGTATACTTTCAATTAACGCGTCTTAATGACTCAACTCATACGGCTGATTAACTATTTAAATTTCTCATCCACTTTTCCAGAACACCATTTTTGAAATATCAATTACCACCGAAAACTTCAACGAGATTGTTAGGGGACACTCAATAATAGTCATAATATTACTTAAAACATATATACTATACCACTCCATATCTCCATATACAATATAGTCAAGTAGTATCTTAATAGACTAAACTTTAGCACTAATCATATAGTATCCTAGTTTCAACTATATCATCTAGTGTGTCTGTTATATGTCATAAAGCATATCTACCTTCCATGATTCCATATATCCTTGGACCATAAGTATAGTTACCTCATATACTCAGAATCAATAATCATAGGGGACACAAGGGGCCACAAGACTTTATCCTTATCAATCCGATCTATTAAAGGTATACTATACGTATAGGTATAAGGAACGGTATATAGATTTGACATATATTTGACACATAGGTTAATTGATGGTATGGATGATATCGGATGGTAACAAAGCTGAAGTTTGATAGAGGGATATGGTGTATATGGTGTATAAGTCTATAATGTAAATATAGTACATACTATATTGATAAAGTTAATTATCAAGTTGTATCCCGATACATTCCAGGGATTCTTGATATATCTATAGCACATATAAGATCAATTTCTACGTCATGCATGTTAAAGATATTAAAAAACCATATATCAACATCTATAAACTTCTCACATAAATAAATAAAAAAAGAATGATGAACTATCAACTCATAACCAATTAACTTGACCATCTCTTAAACCTCACTTTTCAAAGCATCTAAAACTTTATTTAATCCAGCATCATCATCATCTTTTTGTTTCTTCTTTCTATATAAACTACCATGTAAATCAATATGAGATTTTTGTTTACGAACTAAACCACCTTCAATCCCATTAGAAACTGAACCAATTTGTTGAGTTGATCCATTTGTATTTATTGATGAATTTATAGAGGGAGTATAACCTGGGAATTGTGGGATTTGTTGAGGAATAATATTTTGAGGATTTGGTGATTTTGGTCTAAATTTATCAAAATCAAGATCATCCTGTGATTGGGGTTGTTGTTCTGGTGATGTTGATGGGAAAAATGAATGTTGTAAAGGTGATGAAATTGGTGGTGAAGAGATTGGGGATTTTGATAAACCTAATTTTGGTGTTGAACTACCTGATTGGGAACCTGATGGGGAACCTGATTGAGATGATGTAGTTGTTGAACCATTTGAATTTAATGAATCACCAGATTTTTGACGATTATGATTAGTTATTGTTGTTGAATTTGAAACAATTGGTAATTCATTTGATTTATGAATTGGTGTAGGTTCTTGAATTTCAAATTTTGGAACATTATCAAGATTTAATTTTTGTAATGAAGGTTTTTTAGGTTTATTATTTGAATTTCTTTTTAGAGCTAATGAACTTGGATTTAATTTAAATGGTTCATTCTTAATATTTAATTCAAATTCTTTATGATCATGATCACCATGATTTAAGTTATTATCTGTTGCTGGTGGTGTCAAGTCATGATCTGTAGTAACAATACTTGGAGTTTGATCATTATTTGAAGTATGATGAATACTTGTAATTTGTAAAGATTGTAATTTTTCATTAACTTTTAAAATATCAGAATCCATTGGATTTGAAATTTCAAACATTGGAGTATTTGATCTTGAATTGGAATTTGATAATTTTCCTTTAATAAATCTAAATCTTTCATGGAAAGAATTAAAACATGAAAGATTTTTTAAATCAATAATCCATTTTTTAAAAATTAAATCACCCATTTCACTTGGAATTCTCTTGAATACAAAATTATGTGTCTTAAGTTTATTATCTGAACCATAATTCTTTATATGTAATTGAAATTTCATATCATTTGATTCTGTCAAAATACAATCATTTAAATTTATAGAATTTATTGGTGTGAAATGTTCAACTAAATTATCAGATTTAAATTCATGTAAAAAATTTAAAGTTAATATGAAAAAACTCTTATTATAATTTTTCAATAATTTACTCTTTTTCAAGAAAAACCCAGATCTTATACTTTTAGACATCAAATCTTTTGAGAAAGGATATTTAACTGTTGAAATTTTCCTTGGAATTGGTAATTTATCATCATGTTTAACAGTAAGGAAATGTCTTTTATGTTCAGCTGTGGAATCTTTCATTATAAAATCATCCCATTCAAAAAATGGTTTTTGAGAAATTATCCCTTGGTGTAATTCTTCAATTAAATCATTATACATTACAAAAATTTCTTGTGATATTAATTCATTATAACGATTTAATGAATTTTGAACTTCTTTATAAATGATTTTTTCTAATTCTAACCCGGTAATTTGTAAATTTATAAATGCTTCTTCAAGATAATTTTCCTGGTATAATTGTTGTTTTAATTGAATTTCTAATTTTAATCTTAATAAATATGGATCTCTTTTAGCATTAATTTTGGAACCTTCATTATTTTGTAAAAAACGTATAGATTCTGCATAATCATCTAGGTATTGACCAGTTATAGCAATTTCTTGATTTAAATTATTTTTAAAATCACTATGTAAATTTTTAATTTCTCTAATTTTATTAAATAAATCTTTAACTAATTCTTCTAATCTTGGTACAAGAACATTAGTCATCTCAAGAGAAATTTTTCTTTGTTGTTCAGCTAAATTTAAATGATATTTTTTCAAAAGGATTTGAACATCTTGAATTGAACCATTACCAAATTTTGCAAAATAAGTTTGTTTCTTCATATCATCAACATTTGGTTCATAAATTTTATTATTAACATTATTATTAGCTCCCAACTTTGGGTGAATATTTGTAAAGAATGGGAAATTAATAGTTTGAATTAAATTATCATTAATTCTACTATATTGTTGATTTGCAATAGAAATTGATTTATAATAATTAATTAAAGATTTTAAAATTTGTCTCCATAATTCAAATCTTTTACTTAAAACTTCAGTTGGTTGTGAAGATAATGGAACTGAAGAATAAAATGGTGAATTATAATTTGTTTTAGGTAATATAATATCATCTTGTTGATAATTGGGATTGAAATTGAAACTCATAGCAGCTTATTAAAGTCCCCGGATGTATGATCAGCGCTTAACCGCACAGTGTGTCTAAGAAGTGGCAATAAGCAAGAACCTTTTGATGAATATAACCCTTATGATCTTGTGATATCCTTATGATCTTGTTGATTTGATTGATCTTGTTGATACTTGTTGATAATTGAAATAAACCACAAGTTTGTATTTAAGAAACCCTGCGGTTAACAATCAATTTTTTATGTTAAAAGAAATAAAAGTAACCACTGGGGATAAGACTAGCAATAATTCACACACTGAAACAAAAAAGTATCTGGTGATGTCTTGAAAAGTGTTTGTTAAAGTATCTGATTATTTATTATGTGGTATGTTTCAGGTGAAAAGGATACGTATTGATATTTATAAAGGCTGATTAAAGTTTTGTTTGATCCAAGAATACAAAAATTATTTCTTGTTAAGCGTTTGATCGCGTTCTGTTTAATCGGAAGGAACATTAGGAAAGGAAATGGAAGGAATATAAAGGAATTGGGAGGGAACTAAAACTAAACACAGGGCATACACCACGCCACCAAACTACAATCAACTATATTCACAAGACTATAATCAATAGGTTCTATGTTCAATCACTGTCTATTGTCTATGTTGTCCATTGTCTACGTTTCAACTTCAAACCACTTGTTCTAGATCCGTCAAGAACTATCAACGATTTGATCCACTAAAAAATAAAACTAAAACTAAAAATAACACCGTGTAGCAATTGTACCAGTGTAATAGATTATACTTGGAACTTTAACTTAATTGAATACTTATACTGGTAATCCGATGCTAACATTAACAATTATCGTTTCAACATTGAACCCTTGATTTATGTATTATTCAAATTTCATTGTGTGTGTACTGTGCTTTGCATTGTGTAAGGTTATTCAACGATTCTAGATGCTCCTGGTTCTCGATTCAATTCGCCAACAGTATGGTAGATATTCGGACCGGCTTTTACCCGAAGTTGATATGTACATAATTGTGTCAAAATTTCAACTAGTATAAACATAATTTCTCAAATTGATTTAACTAAAGCTACTTGACTAGTGTAAAGAGATCATTAGTACTATCATCAGCCTACTCTAAGTCATGACAAACACAAACGAGTCTCATCATAGAGTCACGACAGATGGTGAGCTGAGCTTTAGTGATTTCATACTGATTTGTACCTCTATGGAAAATCAGCTTCGTTCTCATTCTCAACAACGTCAAATTAACCACCATAATTACACTTATCAATACAAACCAACATATATTTATAATTGCACTCAAGCTTATCATGGTTCCCAAAGTGATACCTCTAATGAGGGTCAGCTTCATTATCAACAAGCTCACGGCCATCATCAGTATAACTACAAACCAGTTATATTTTATAACTGCTCTAATGGTTCCAGAAATAATAAAGTTATAGACCATGATTCAAAAAAAATCTCAAAGCTACAATCATTAGATCATTTAGAGCCAGATCAGAATAAGAAGTCAAAAGAACAATCAAAGCTACAATCATTAGATCATTTAAAACCAGATCAGAATAAGAAGTCAAAAGAACAATCAAAGCTACAATCATTAGATCATTTAAATCCAGATCAAAATAAGAAAAATGAAAAGTTCCCTTGGTTAGACCTGATATCAATAATTTTACTTGTGATTTTAATACCTATAGTTTTTATGATACAACCAATGTCAATATCATTCATGTTTTTACTAGGAACCTTGAAAATTTTACACATCAAGGAAAGTTGGACTCAAGAAACATTATCCAGTGTATTAAGTCTGTTTTTAAAGAATGAATATATTAAAGGTTTTGATAGAAGAAGTCGGATGTTGTTGGTTACTATTGCCTGTCAAATCATTTTATTTATTATAGCGATGGTTTTGGGTAAGGTTATGGACTTTTTCGAAACAAACTAGTTGTATAGCTGCGATTTTATTTAATAACATTGTTTTAAAGCTCTGTATTTGTTCATCGTATTCTATTTCCTTTCAAGCGTGCTATAGTAGACTGTAATTAGCTGATTATAAGTACCCATTCATTGTTCTTTAAATTCCAGCTACATTAACAAATTATAAGAATATCTTCATATTATGTATACAGCTATACCCAACATTTAAATCATGGTTTTGGAATTTTTAATGATTTAGAAATTAATGCAGAACCATGAATTCCAAAAATTAAAACAATTGGATGAAATTCAAAAAATGTATTTGTGAAAACAGTTCCTAATGGTAAAGAATCTTGAATCCAATCTTTATGAACCCAAAATGCCATTAATCCAACAATAAATAATGAAGTTGGAATTGGCAATCCTTCAAAATATTTTGATTTACCTGTTAAATCTTTTGGAATTGTTGTAACAGTAACATTAAATCTTGCTAATCTTGTTAAACCACATAATACAAAAAATGATAAAATTAAAACATCAATAGTACTTTGGAATCCAATTGCAAATGCAATTGATGCTGGTGCAACACCAAATGAAATTAAATCAGCTAATGAATCTAATTCTTGACCTAATAAACTTGATCTATTTCTTAATCTTGCAACTCTACCATCAAAGAAATCAAAAAATAATCCTAATAAAATGAAAAAATGTGCTCTTTGAACATAATGTGGTAAATTTGTTGAAGTAAATCTTAAACATGAAATAATTGAATAAAATCCACTGAAACCATTCAACATTGTTATAAAATCTGCTAAATGTAAATTTCTAATCATACTAAAATGAATATCATCACTTGTAAATTTTTTAATATCTTCATCATCTGGTGGATCTAATGGAGCTGTTGAATCAAGATCTAATGAAAATAATGATGAACTTCTACGAATTGGTGCTGGTCTTTCACTATCTTCATCACCTTCTTGACGAGAAGTTTCATCATCTGTTAAAACTGATTCTAAACCTGTTGAACCGGCACTTTCTGGATTAGTTAATGGAGCGGCTTCTTCAGCAACCTTTGCCTTTTTATCACTTGATCTTGTTTGTCTCTTTGACATTGTTTAAATGATCCTTAATTGAATAATTTATCGATTTAATAAAGAATTTAGTAAAGAATAAATTAAAGATTTGTTTTTAAATTTGGAAGCAATTTTGCTTTTTCTTAATTTTTACATGTGCTGCTAGAATTCAAAAAAACATACACAACATTCGCGAATTCATGAAATTCGATCACGCTTAGGTAATGCTCAGCCCTGTGATTATGTAAGTTGTATTAATTAATATGAGAATTTTAATGATTTGAGTATATAATTTAAACATTTTTGAAGTATAATATGGTATCATTTTGAAAATTAGTTGATCATTATTATAATGTTAGATTCCGGTGCAGATTGCTACCTATAATATTCGAATTCATTAATATGAGTCAAAATAATCAGATGCTAGCTGAATATGTTGAATCAGCTGAAACTAGAAGAAACAGAATTAAGGAGTTATGCAAAGATCACAGAAATGAAGTCTTATCATTAACGTTTGAGATGATAAAAGAAGCTAATGGGGCAATTCTTAGTCATAGCGCCAATGAAGATCGAATACACTTGAAAGAAATCAAAGAAATTGGTAAATTATTTAAAGTCCCAGATTCAATCATAGAAAATACTAATTCTGATACTATATCATATGAAGAAAGCATTTTAAATGATTTACATTGGTTTGTGTTAGCCATGACAAAACCACAGATTAGGCTAAATCCACTAATGGATCCCAAAAATGTGTATCTATACAAATTGATAGACCAAGTTTTTACAAAAGATTCTGACAGGGCAATGTGCATCTCGAATAGAATCATAAAGTCTGCAATGAATCCCAGTCAATCAACACGTCTCAATACACTTATGAGACACCATAAAGATATTGTCATATCTAAATGTGAAGAAATAAGCCTCGAATTTATCGAAAATGAATGTATAAAAGTGGCAGACATTTTATACAACGCTGAGAAAAATTTAGTGAAAATTGATGACATGTTTCAATTGTATTTGTGGAATCATGGAATGCATAAACAAGAACTAGATATAATTGAAATGAATAAGAATATTATTGAAAGGGAACTAAATAGTGAACAATTCAAATTATCAAATAGAAAAGATAAAGTACTAAAGCTATCAAATTTGATTCAGAGTAGACTTGGTGCTCCAATTAAAGAAGATACAGATGTTACAAACAAGATGTTTTATTTGTGTACAAATATAAACTGGGTTATGTCAAGATTAGATAATACATTTGAAAATTTAGAAATAACGCTTGAAACACCAACCAGTGGATTAAACCAAAGTACATCAGTTGGTAGGGATCGTAGTGAAATCAGATCAAATGCATCCTCTAATAATTCATCTGAAGTTATCCGTTTTAACACAGGACCAACAGCGATTGATATTATAATTAAGTCTCAATTTACTGGAAATGGTGTCCTTTTTGAGTGTAAAAGGACCAAGTATTTGAGACAACATTTTAGACGTTTCATCAGCAGTAATACAAATGATCAACTTAATTCACAAGAGAATCAACTAATGGGTAATATGCTCAAGCAAATGATTACTTATTGTAGTGAATTAAATCTAAACACATGTGTGCTAACAAACTGGTCAACAATTATCGTGATTGAAATAGATTTAAATCAATCTTCACCTGCTACGATAGATGGAAAAGAAGTTATTGATCTAATAAATTCAAAATATCGTATGGTTGATTTTGATGACCAAGGATTAACTTTTAATTGGATTATTGTGTATCTATTGAAACATGTCCATAAAGAAATTGATTTAAAAGAAAAAACTAAGATGATGGAACAATTTCTTTTAAAATTTTACAGAACCCCAGATCATCAAGAAATTCAAAAGGAAATAAACAAGAAGAGAACTCATAGTGGTAGATCAGAGGATTCAAATGTCCAGAGAAATTCAGATCATAAGGAATCGAGACAGGAACTTGAAGAGATTTCAAGTGATATTTCTACTCTTTTTCCAAATGGTATATCCCAGTATGTTATTCAAGGAGGTGAAGGGTATACTTCACAGGTATTCGAAGTTTATCTTGAAGATTTAATTAAAATGAAGTTACATTTTGAATCAATGACAGATGTTTCACCTGGAAAAAAGTATATACTCAAAGTATACAATCTAAACCCATATGAATTTTATGAAGAAGATGCAAATATCAAATACCAGTTCTTCAATCAAGAAGTCAAATCTTTGAAAATGATCAAAACACATAATCAATATTGCACAAGCACTCAAAATCATAATTCTATTATCAATACAGCAGATCTTTATAAATATTTCATATTACAGTTGAACAACTCAAAAGGTGAAGTTGTTCTTTATGGATATGGGTTGTTGTTAGAGTACATTGAAAAAGCAGAATCTACCATTAGTTTAAATAAAGAACTCATTGAAGCTGATTATAATAGACAACTAGACATTTTAGAAGAAATAGGTATAATTCATAATGACCTCCAGAACACCCAAAACATCATTATAACTAAGAATTCCAAAGTGTATTTTATTGATTGGGGGTTGTCTAAGATCATAGAAAAGAAAATGATAAATTCTGCTGATTCTGACACATTATCCATAGACTCATATTCAAAATCTGGTTTGTTCACTGCAAATGTTGGTATAACAAGCTCAAAATACAGTAATGCTGATGATTTATATACTTCAGGTAATTCAGCTATTGCAGATAAACATCAATATGATAATTCTAAATATTCAAAACAGGATGAAGAATAGATATTATATTATATATATAATTACGCTTAGGTAATGGTCAGTACAATGATTATGTAATACCGGATTTTATTCATTATATATACGTGTCTATAACTATAATTCAATGAGTACTATAATATATTTACGCGTTATTTTTATATGCGTGTGTACCATTTATATATTAACATATATTAACAACATTAACAATAACCATATATCCAAGACATGTCAATTCTAAGTAATCTATACAATTCATTAGTACCATCCCCTTCAAAACCAGAAAAGACAATATCATTTTTAAATCATAACAACACACCAGTTAATAATTTTTGTTCAATTATACCAATAATTCAACCTTCATTAATTTCCACATCATTTGGGAAATCTTTATTAACCTTGAGTGTATTGGGTGTTTATTTAATACTATATTTAAAATTTGCAGATTCAAGAACAAATTATGGAGTTGAATTTAGATTATTAACAAGTTTATTCTTGGGGAATTTTATCTTTACAGTTTTGAGTTTTAATGATTGGTTTAATTTAACTTATGAGATTATTTTTTGTAATGATTATAAAAATGGATTAATAAATTTATATCAAGTTAGTGAATTAATTGAAAATTATAAATTATTAAATATATTGGAATTTCATTGGAATTTTTTCAAATTAATTGTTTCAACTTATTCAATATTAGTTTATAAACAATTTATAAAATTCTTTATTGATGGTACAAAAGAAGCTTTTGAAATAATACAAGAATATGTTAAATAAAACTACATATTGTGGTTTAATGAATATCTATAATTAAATTACATGTTTTTTTCCTGTTTTATATTCTATATATAACAAAAGAGTTCTAATTTTTTATACAAATTTTTATGTTTATTTATTTATCTTCAACATGTTGTTCATGTAATTTAGCATAACGACCAGAAGGATCTTCAGCACAACCCCAATCAGCTTTTGGAATCCATCTCATAACAGTTGAAGCAACAGCTTTTGATGGGAATAATTCATCAAACATTAATCTATACCAATAAGCTTCTTTAGTAGTTGGAATATCATCACCCCATTCAGGTTTTGGTGTTTTAAATTGTTCATCAGAAATAACTTTTTCAGCAGTATCTTTTAATCCATCAATCCATGAATAACCAACACCATCAGAAAATTGTTCTTTTTGTCTCCATAAGATTTCTTCTGGTAAATATGGTTTAGCATTTGGATCATCTGAAGTATCAAAAGCTTTTCTTAAAGCGTATTTTTCAATTTTACCTTCAGTTGGTTTAATTAATTTATCTTCTGGATTAATATTCATACAAACTTCCAAGAATTGTTTATCCAAGAATGGAACACGAGCTTCAAGACCCCAAGCCATTGTTGATTTGTTTGCTCTTAAACAATCAGCAAAATGTAAGTTTTTAACTCTTTTAACACATTCAGTATGGAATTCATTAGCAGATGGTGCAGAACCGAAATATAAATAACCACCAAAGATTTCATCAGAACCTTCACCTGATAAAACCATTTTAACACCTTGAGCTTTAATTTTTCTTGATAATAAAAACATTGGAGTTGAAGCTCTAATTGTGGTAACATCAAATGTTTCTAAATGATAAATAACATCTCTTAAAGAATCTAAACCTTCATCTAAAGTGAAAGTATGTTCATGATGAATAGTACCAATGAATTTAGCAACTTTAGCAGCAGCAATTAAATCTGGAGCACCTGGTAAACCAATAGCAAATGAATGTAATTTAGTCCAACCATGAGAATGTAAATTACCTGAATCATCAACACCAGCTAATTTAGAATCATCATCATGTTCAGAAGCTTTAGCAGTTTCTCTAGCGGCAATAGCAGCGATTAATGAAGAATCTAACCCACCTGATAATAAGACACCATATGGAACTTCAGCCATTAATCTTTTTCTAACAGCTAATTCTAAAGTTTCACGAACTTCTTTATAATCAACTCTCTTTGTAGGAATTTTTTCTTCATCCCACCATGTTGGTTGGAAATATCTTGTTAATTTATCAGTAGCAGAATCATAGACATGACCTGGAGGGAATGCAATAATTTCATCACAATCATCAATAAGACATTTTAATTCTGATGCGAAATAAACAGATTTACTGTTTTTAGAATCTCTACCCATGTATAAAGTGGTGATACCAATTGGATCTCTAGCAGCGATAATACGATCTTTTGGAGCATCATAAAGAACGAAGGCAAACATACCATCAAGATATTTTGGTGCATCAATATCATATTTTTGATATAATGGGATAATAGGTTCACAATCTGATAAAGTTTTATAAGGATAATCTGGGAATTCTTCTCTTAAATGTATTTGATTATAAATTTCACCATTGACAGCTAATGATAATGATTCATCTTTTGAAGTGATTGGTTGAGCACCAGAATCTAAACCAACAATTGATAAACGTTCATGAACTAAAATTGTTGAATTTTTAATAACATTACCTGACCAATCTGGACCACGATGTCTAATTTTCTTAGCGTTTTGTAAAGCTTTTGCTTTATAGTTTTCAACTTCTGGATGTCTGTAAGAAGCAAAGATACCACACATTTTCTTGTATTATGTTTTGAATGGGTATTAAATAGTCTTATCGTCGAAGGCTCAAAATTATTAATGAATTTTTCACGCTTTTTTATAAAAATATCGAGATTGGATTTTTTTTTGATTTTTTTCAGATTTTTTTGGTTATGGGCAAAAATTAAAATGAGTCAAATTAAAATGAGTAATCGAGCAAAAACCATCGCAAAAGGGTAAAAAGCGCGAGATGATAGTGGCAAGTATTAATATTGATGGTATTTGATTAAGAGTGTATGAGGTATGAGTCAGTGTATGTTGTGCACTGTGTGGTTTGTGCTCAGTGCTGAGTGTTGTATGTGTGGGTTGTTCTGTTGTTCTGTTGTTCTCTCGGGATTCGCTTGTATTGTATGGATTGTACCAGGTATAAAAGACATGGACTTTAAATCAACTTGAACCATGGATTACTGAGGCACCCACAAACTGGTAGTCTGGTACTATTATCTCATTGAGTTAAAGAGTTAATTGATAAGTATACAATTTCGATTAGATATGCACTCCAGTTCTGGTTAGCACAATACTCGATGGTTTGTAGATTACCACTACGTACTAGATTTTTGTTAAACATCTATACATTTGAATTGAATGAGTAGAAGTAAAAGTACATCTTCAATAGTTAACCTAGAAAGAAACTTATTAAACTATGAGGTTCCAAGTTCCAACGAGTTAGTTCTCCAGATGCTTATCAGTCAAGTCTGATTTGATCTATTGTTCCTGATAAGAACCATGAGGCACCAATCACCCATAGGTTAAATAAACATACCTGGTAACAAGTTTTTCAAATTCTGGTGATGTTTTCAAATGCTTTAATTTAACCGCGTATTTTCAACATGATATTCAGCATACTACTATTATCCAAATCAATAAACAAATGTATTTTTCACTAATTACAGCTCTCTACAATGTACTTTGACTCTAAAGTATTCTTGGTATGGTTCTTAAACCGGCGTATCATCCGCGTTGGTGCCGTATACTAAAATCTGTTAAATGGCATGAATATGCACTTTAATTCGAAACAATAAGAGATCATAAAGACCCTTTAACTCTAGTACACATCATCCATAATATTGTTATAATATTAGCTTTTTATTAAAAACTCTGACCTAATATACAAAATTCTACCAAAACACACAAAATATATAATAATAATAGTATAATAATAATAATAAAGCACATCTAACATTTCCAATTGTAGCTTTTAACGAATATAAAAAAACAACACTGAATATCAACATCAACCTAAAACCAAAAAAAACCAATTACTTAAGTAGTATTTTGAGATTTTAATTACGCTGCAACATCAGAACCAGCAATACTTGGTGCATAACTTGGTTGATAATCAGTTAATTCATCATCATCATAATCTTCATCATCTAAACCATCATCTAAATTTTCATCATCATCTTGATCATTTTCATATAAATTCCCATCTTGATCAATTTCTTCATCTTCTTCAGATTTTGATTCATCATTATCCTCCGCTTCAATCTTCATTTCTTGTGCAATATCATAACATTCAGCTAATAATGCATTCAAAGTACCTTGACCTTCTGGAATTTGTCCATCAACAATAAATTTCCCATCTTCTCTCAAGTTATCTAATGAAGCTAATTTCATTTGATATGGATATAATTCTCTTGCTGAATTTATACCACCCATTCTTTTAACTTCCAAGAGACATCTACGTACTGTTGATAATTGATTATGAATTGGAGTTAATGCTTCACTAACAGGTTCACTTGATTCTAATAATTTATAAATAATTGCATAACATCTTCTTAATAAATATAATAATACTGATTGACCTTTATGACTTTTTGAATCATCACTTGTTGGAAATTTCCCATCAATTCTTAAATCATCTAATTCTTGTAAATTTTTTTGATATGTATATAAATCAGTTTCTCTTAATGTCCATCTTCTTGTAACTAATAAATCTTCCAATGTAGTTTTCAAATTAACTAAACGATCATAAATTGGTTTTAAATTATCATCTAATTCAAATCTATGAGCTTCTAAATCTTTAATTAATACTGTACAATCATCAAATAATCCATTCAATACACTTTGACCATTTTCTTCAAATTTATCAGTTTCTAATGATTTGAATTTCCCATTTGAATCACGATGTTTACCCAAATCAATTAAATTTTGTTTTAATGGTATTAATTCTTCAGTTTTAAAATCAGGTCTTGCAGCAACACTTAATAATTTTCTTCTTGTTGAAATTAATTCCTCCAAGATAGAAGATAATGAATCATCAACATCTTCAACTTTATTTTCAACTTCATTATATTCTAAAAAACATTCTTTTAATTTATGTTTCAAAAGGAAATCTTCCTCTTCTTCAACTTTATTTTCATTAATAATATTAGAAATTTCATCTAATCTCTCCTTAATAGGTTTTAAATCATGATGAGTATAAACTCTGGATTCATTTAAATGTTCTAATAATCTTTGTACAGTGGAAAGTGATGCATAAGTAGCAGGTGCACTTTTAGTTAAACCAACAGTTATAAAGAATAATGATAATAATTGGAAAACATCATCAAGAACTTGATCAACTCTATTTGGTAAATGTTCATTAGGGAATTGTTCTCTTATTTGATTTAAATTTTTAACCACTAACAAAACATCATTATAAATTTTTAATACATCTTTTGAATTTAAATATTGTGATCGATCTTTCTTCATTGAAGATAATTTTGAACGAATTTCGGTTAATTTGGAGAAGACATTGTTTTCATGTTGTGGTATTTCATTTGTATGAGGCATAGCGTATCTCTTATAACCTTGTTATGTGTGATACTTGTATAGACTGTGTTTAGTTGTTTTTGTTTCTTGTTGAAATATCTTTGCTTTATCAGGTTTAAGAATTATGGAGTTTGAACTTTTGTCATAAATTTCTCACGATATTTTGGAAAATCGGATGTTTTTGGCCGGAATTGATAAAAGCCATAATTATCACAAGAATAAAAGGAAGTAAAATATCTACAATTTAATAAACAAATTCATAAAAGTTCATATCAATAAATAGAAACAACATAAAAAAGACAAAAATTTTGAAGTCAAATAATTCAAGTCACAAAAATTGTACTGTTCACGTAGTAAATTATAATAAAAATCCACACTATATATAATAAATTCCACTTCATATATGTATTATAATTCAATTAAAATGAAGATAAAAGGAAAGATTGAAAAGACACAAACATAAATTAACAAAAAATCAGTAGTAGTTATAACTCTATTGTATTTTATTGGTTTTCTTGATAAATCATGATGGGATTAAATGACAAATATATCTTGGAGATCAATACGATTCATAAAATCATAGATCATCATCAGGATTTGCCACTCTTAGAATCTTTCTTGAATAATCAGCTTCATCTGCTAAAGAACCTTCACTAATTCTTCTTCTACCCAACATTACCGGGTTTAATCTTTGATCTGTATTATAATCTTCTTTACTTAGGAAAGGATTTGATAAAGGTCTTGCCACTGTGGAATTATCTCTCTTTATAGCATCATAATAAGCTGAATCTGCTAATTCTGCATCACGTTTTGTACTTGTACGACGTCTTAAAAAGAAGAATAATAATGAAATTAATGCAACTAATGCAACTCCTCCAACAACTCCTCCAACAACTGGTCCTACAAGATTGGTTTTCTTACCACCTTTATCATCATCCTTTTTGGAATCTGATGATGAAGATGAACTTGCATTGGAGCTTGATGTTGATGATGATTGTTGATTTGAACTTGTTGGTGATGAAGATTCAGTTGCTGCAACTGTTTGAACCACTGTGGAAGTTTTACCACCATCATTTGTTGTCAAAACAGTTTCTTTTGATGAAGTATTTGAATTGGAAGTTGTTGTTGGATTAGAACTTGATGAAGTTGTTGTTGTACTTTGTGAATTTGTTGTTGTAGTTGGTGAATTTGTTGAACTTGTTGAAGTTGAAGAAGTTGATGTAGAGGTGGAACTTGATGTAGTACTATCCGTGTTTCCTGAACCACTACTTGAAGAACTACTATCATCTTCATTTGAATCATTCCCTGTTGAATAAACACTATAAGCATCATCACCACCACACATTTCTTGACCATAACCAAAACATTTTGAATTACAATCATTTGATGTTGAACCACTTGGTTTTGAATTCCCACAAATACATGTATTACCTTTTGTTAATGCAAAATATGCATAATTTGAACATTGATCTGAACAATGTGATGAAGATTGGAAATTAAATGTTGATTGATCACTAAATGATGAAGGTAAACTTGAATAACAACCAATTTCTGATGCACCAAATGTCGATATTGGTAATAATGCCAATATTAGTAGTTGAATCATTATTGAATTTTATAATATTTAAATCTTTTTTTTTTTTCAAACGCGTTGATTAGTTTTGAAATTTTGTATTTTGTATTTTGTGATGTGGTATAATGTGTAAATGGACTTGATCTAAAATATCAACACCTTATCAACACCTTCTCTTTTTTTTTCAAATTTGATTCCAAATTATATAAATGAATGAAATTTATTTGAATAGCTAATTTCAAAAGACGTAAAGTTAATTTTCCTTTGCCCTTTATGACTTCTTTTAGTTTGTTAAAACTATAAATTTAGCCCTTTTAACTGCTGATTCCTCGAAACTAAAAAAAAACCTTTTTTGCCTAAAAACTTGTTTGCCCTTTGAAGTAACACAGGTAATGTAAAAGAATGGAATGGAAAGTTTGATCTAGTTTCCTTTGTGGTTCTTGTTGAAGTACTTTAACAATGAATGAATGTGAATAGTACTATTAATAGTATGGGTATTGTATAGGAAAGTATATTCAAGTATAGTTGAGTATAAATGAATGTGTAAAGTACGATCCCGTTTTTTTTTTTCTTTAAATTCTATACTTTTTAGAAAAAAATGGCTGTATAAATGAGTACTAGGCCTATAAATTAATAACGTGAATCCTTGATAATGTGTTCTTTTTGTTCTTTTTTAAGAAATATTTTTTAAAATTGTGTGAGGCTTAATTGGAAAAAGATTTTAAAAGTCTCGAATAAATCAAGTTGGAATGTTTGGTAAAAATGGCGCGTATTGAAATTTAATTAACCAGAAACAACTTGAATACACTTGAACAAATGATCTTTGAGTAACTTTGTAACTTCTCCTTTCTGATAAATAGAGTGCCTACAACTAAATAGATAACTCATATCTTTTACTGGAATTATTCACTGGGAATTTTTCAAATTTGGTGTCCCAAAGGGCGTTCCTTCCACTGGGAATTTCTTTTTCGCGTCAGTCTGGGTCCTCGGATGACTCAGCAGTGCTACTGGGATTACATAATGCGGTATGTAAGTATTATAATTATTCATTAGTTTATTATTAGTTTATATACGTTCATTTGATTTGGTATTGAGTGTAGTATTCATCTAGGCGTGCAGTGTGTTTGTACTGGGTGACAGGTGTTTCCAATTTGTGGATGGCATTAGGGTTCCCATGTGTTAATATTGTTGATGATGTTTCAATTGAATTTGAGGCTAGTAAGTTTCCACTGATTTTAAATAACATTATGGTTATAAGTATCAATAACACGATTGATACACTAGATATTGTCTTTTTGGTTTTGGTATTTGGTTTTGAATTAGGTGTGGTCACTGGTAATGGTAATGAATTTGGAGATTTGAATAATAATGGTTGTTTTTCAAATTTTTCATCTTCATAATATTCTTCATCTGATGAATCTGATTCTGATTCCGAATCCAGTATGTTATCAAAAGGATTATATGATGATGGTTTGTATGAATTCTTGGAACCCAGCAGTTTAAATGGACAACTTATATGAATACTTTCTTGTAAATCTAATACTTTATCTTGGTCATATTCAACTTGTTTAATATCTTCAATTTTAAGATTATCAATATAGATGTCATGTGGTATATTCATTGTTGTTGGTAGTTTTTGATCTTTATTATTCATTATGCTAGGTTCATAAATGTATATATGAGTAGGTGGTTTTGGTTTGGCCATACACATAATGGATCAAGATATGTTTTGTAGGGTCTGATGTAGATTTATATACAAATATGAAATGATGTGTTGATCTTTTTAACTTATCAATTGTCTTATCTTTGTAATGCACTTCATGCAAAAATCAAAATTTCAGTATTAAAGTAATTGTATGGGAGTATGGGAGTATGGGAGTTTAAAACTATATACAAATGTCTGAAGTTTGGTGGATACGGATCTTTAAAAAGCCTTATCAAAGATTTTGTTTATCTTTTTTTTTGAAATTGATTGTCTGATAAGCGAATGAAAAGTTTAAAGCCTAAACAAGTTATTGAACCGTTCAAACTTTGACAGAAGACCATCGCCCACTAACCATTTCTATAATAGGACATTACCCCAAACAAGCCACGAAATAATTTGCATTTTGGCGAATTACCGGATTGAGCGCAACGCGAAATCGTGAGCGCGTATGTCATTAAATATTTTAATCAGTTTAAACTCATCTCAAATTAAACAAAGCTTTTGGTATTGGATCTGGACAGGCTCCTACAGCGGCTATTCATTACAAAGGACAAGATACAACAAGACGATGGCTGGGCTGAAGAAGAGACCTCTAGTTGCTCCAAAACTTGTCAAGTCAGCTCCCATCACAAAGAGAACTGCAAAAATTAGAAGATCACCTTCACCAAATCCAATATTGGCACCTCCACCAACTACAAATTCTAATAAATCATTGGGATCAAGTCCTGTTAAAGACTCAACTACAAGCTTACCACCCCCATCATCAATTACACCTATGAGCACGAAAAGAAGAAGTCTACTGGCTTCAAAATCAAATAATAATCACAACTTACCTTCATCTCCATTAAACAATAAGTTTGAACAAGCTCTACAGACAAGTTTAAATTCAATGAATAAAGCCAAATCTTCACCTTTGAAACCCACAGCTACAAGATTAAACTCATTACCTTCACCATCTCCAGAATTTACTAGACAAAGACATATAAAACCATCAGATATTTCAAAATCTTCACCAATACGAAGTAAAAAAGTTATGTTTACTGAAAATTTAGTTATGAATGATAGAACTATACCCACACCAAAGAAATCAATTTTGAAGTCAACGTTTTTAGATCCACCACAAATGAATCCTTTAGTTCCAACAAATTCACAATCTTCTAATTCAAATCAAACTTTAATATCATCAAGTAATGCATCAAGATTAGAATTTTGGACTCCAGGTAATATTCCAAGATTATCATCATCATCATCAAATACTGTAACCACAAATGAAGAATTGGTTTTTTTCAAAAATATATTACATGGTGGTATAATTGTATTAGATATTCCATCATGTGAACGTCAATTTGAAATTTATGCAACTTTAAATCTATTATTAAAAGATTTAAATGATAAAAAAATATTAATATTATTAGGAAGTTTATCTGAATTAACAAGATTATTGAAAAGAGATCTTGTCTCTATTGAAAATGAAATATTAAATAATGAATCAAATGCATTTCTTGTGAGAACTGATATTCAAATAACCAAAATTTTAACTCAATTATTATCAAATAATAAAATTATGTTAAATTTTTGGAAAAAATCTAAAATTAATTTTGATTTAGGTAAATGGTGTATAAATCATAGTTCTTCATTAATTTTAAAACAAACTATATCAAAATCATTAATAACTGCAAATTTACAATTATTAAAAGATCATAAATTACATTCATATTTAAATACTTCAATTCAAGAATTCATATTATATGCTTTATTAAATATGAAACATTTTAATTCATCATCATTATTAGTGGAAAGATTATATACTTTAAAATCATTAATAATAAATCATACATTAATGATGGAAAAAAATTCAAAATCTTGGTTACCATTTTTATTTAATTGTCTTTGTGATTTTAATTCACCAATTTATCAAAAACAACAACAAGTTGCAGTTCAATGTCTTTTAGAAGCCTCAAAATTATATTTAACTTCTAAAAATGTGAATTTTGAAATTCATAGATCTTTAACTTTACCAATTCATAAAACTTTAAATATTCAACCTGAAAGTCAAATTTCAATAAATTCAACTCCATTAGATTTACAACAAACTACATTTACATACATTATTGGAAGATCTTTAGAATTATTACAAGATCAATCCAAAATTGCAATGGATTTATGGTTAGGTATAACATTAATGTTTTATTCAACTAATGAATCATTAACAGAATTACCAATTGAAATTGATAGTCCATGGTTTTTAATTTTGAAAAAAGCATTAACTTCAGAATCTGATGAAATTATTAGTAATGGTATTAGAGCATATAAAGGATTGTTTTATGTTCTATATAAAAATGGTAAATTTCCAGAAAACTTAGAACTAATGTTTAATGGATTTAAATTAATTAAAAGGGATTTTATTGATCATGAATCTTTATCAATTTTTGTCCTACAGATAATTTATTCCTTTTTCAATAATACTTTTTTGATCAAACAATTTTTTTCACAAATTTGGCCTTATATTGATACTTTATTAAATGATTTAAGTGGAAGAAATGAAATTTTACAAAAATTTCCTGTTAAAGTTTTCACACATGTTATTTATCAACAACAAAGACAACAAGATCCTTTTTATTTAGTTAAATGTTTGGGGAATGATAAATTTAATATTAATGAAATTCAACCTTTACAACCTGATACTATTTTGAAAAATCATGAATTAATTTGGAAAACTTTTATCAATTCAATTTGGAATTCAAATGAAACTGTTAAAGTTAAAGTTCAAGCATTATTTACATTAATGGGCTCAATTAAAAATGTTTCAGTTAGAGATAATGATATTACAATGTTGAATAAATTATTTGGTGCTCTTGAACTTTATAAAGATTTTATTCCAGAATATTTAAAAGCTATAGATCAATTTTCAGATTCTGATAAATCATTATACATTGAAAAATTTTTACTAAACATCAAGAATACTTTTGGTAATAGAGCTTTCTTGAAAGAATCTAACGGTATATTGGTTTTCAATCAATCTAATGTTTATGTCACAATGGCATTAAATCATTATAATAGTCCAAAGAATATGTTCAATGAATCAATTAAAATCATTGTTAACGTTATCAAAGCTCATCAATATAAATTTTATGAAAGTTTAATAATGAATCATAAGGATAAATTGATTGTTCAATATTTGAATAATTATCTGGGTTCAAAAATTTTTGAAAAATTATTACCAAGTTTTGAAATTCAATCAATTGGTAATACCATATCAAATCTGGATAAAGATGAAAATTTATGGAAAAATTATTTATCATATATTACAAAATGCTCTACAATTACTCCATTGCAAGGTATTTCATATTTGAAAATAAGTTCATGGTCAGCTACTGAAATTATTAAATTTACAAAACATATCCATACTCATCATCAACAATTAACCACACCATTCACACAATGTATGGTGACTGAACTTCAAAGTATGTCATCAATTATTGCTATTGATTTTTTCAATAAACTTTTGATACATGATCAAATGTGGATTTTAAATCAACTAAAAGAACATATTTATTTCCATGTTATGGATCCGGATCAACAATATTCAGATGATGTTCATTTTTATGGTTTAGCATTTTTTGATAAATATTTACAAAAAATTCAAAAAAATGGTAATGAACAAATTGATGGATTTTTAGCTCAAGGTTTAGAATTATGTGAAGCTTTGAAAAAAAATCAAAAAGTTTTAACTACAACACCACAAATTTTAAAATTAATTCAAGGTGTTATTAAAAATGCTTTGAAAGAATCTATTATCTTGGAAAATTTACCAAAAGTTAAAAAATTTGTTGATGATCAAATTATTCAACAAAGACAAAATCTTAGTAGTCTCGTTACACAATCACCAACTAAAGAATCAGTTAAAGAAGTTAGCTCATCAGATTTATCCGCTAATACTAGTGAAGCTAAAGATATACCTAATGTTACAGATCAAGTTGATTATGATTTAAGTGTTGATTCAACAGATTCTAAAGGTGCTAAAGATGATATAAGAGATGAAGAAGCTAGTGAAATTCCAACTCAATCAATTGCAGAAGTAAATGAAACTGAAGATGAAGTTGAAATTGAAAAAACGCAAGCTGATAAACCTAATAAACCTAAAGAAGATCTACACGGGATTCAATCATCAGATGTTTCAAACAATGACCAAACACCAGAACTTACACCTCCAGTTGAAGAGAATGTTAATGATATTGCTGATGAAGCTGTTATAACAGAAGATAGTACTGTCCAAGACACTGTTGAGATTCAACAATCAGTTTCTCTCAACGATAACACTGTTGATTTTGAAAATAAAAGTGTTGAACAAGATTCTGGTGTTGAAGCTGATAATTCTAAAGTTGAAGAACATGATACTGTGGAAATTGAAGACAAAGCTGAACCTACTATAGCAGAACCTGCCATTGAAGAACCTGTTGAAAAAGATCAAGAGGTCACACAAGAGGCACAATCTGAGACTAAACCTCAAGAAAGTTTGGAAAATAGTGTACAATCTGATACAGTTGAAGTTGGAAATGAAGCTGATTCTATGGATATTGATCAACAAGCTGATAGTTTTACTGATGGTGCTACATCAGAAACTGAATCTCAATCCAGATTAAATTTCAAAATTGGTGAATTTAGAAAAAGAGTTGAAATTTTTAAAGAGAAGAAAAGATTATCCAAAATTGTTGAAGAGTTCAATAAATCAGGTATTAGACCATCAAATGAATCATCAAATACAGTTAATCCTGAATTAACAAATTCAAGTGAATCAATTGATGATAGTGATCCAAAGAATCGTAACATTGATAACAATGGTGATCTTATTGCTGAATCAACTGATGAAAATGTTAAAGACCTTGAAGCTAAAGATACTCGTGAGGCTGGATCTGATTATAATGATACTTTAATCATACCAGATGATGAACAAGACTCTCTCAAAAATTCAAATGAAGTGCCTGAAGATAAAAATGTTACTGCTAAAGAAGTTATCAATGAAGAACCAAAAGTATCATTACAAGAATCAGAGGTGTCCCAAGACTCTAAAAATGATAAAGATGAAAATATTGAACAACCAATACAAGTTATTGATCAAGATCCACAACGTATTGAAAAAAGTGCTTCTGTTGAATTGACTAATGAATGGGCTGATCATCCATCAGATGAACCTGAATTTTATGATGCACAAACTAATGTCAATCCATCTTCATCACCAGTTCATGAATCCACATCATCAGACGCTGGTGAAAGATTTTTCGAAAGTCAAGAAGATATTTCATCACCTAAGAAAAGTAAAACTGAAGAACCTATTGATCAAGTTGTTGAAACTCAAGAAATTCCAGATTCAAATGAGGCTTTGGTAGTACACAAACCTAATGAAGAAGAATCACAACCAAGTAATGATGTTGAAGCTACTCAAGAAACTACAGAAGATACTGATGTAGGCACTATTGGCCAAGATAAAGATGATGAAAAGGAGAATGATATTCCAAGTGATTCAATGGTTTTATATTCAAGTCCTTTAAAACATATCAGATCAAAAAATGCACCTTTATCGAATATTGATAACCATAACCAAGATATTCAAAATACACCAACTAGATCATCTAGAAAGAGACAATACCAAGGTGGAGAAGAGGAACAACCTACTGGGGCAAACCATAATTATGAATCATCAGATGAAGATAGTGATGGTGATATCGTTGAAATTGATGATTCGGAATTTTCAAAAAGTTTCATTTCATCTTCACCAAGAAAGCCAATATCTAATAAAATTGAACCAGCTCAAAAGAAACAACGTCTTGAACATATTAATAGTCCTGGCCTTGATGTTTTGACACCACCAGATGAAAATCCAGTTGTACAACCAATTGATAAGATTAATGATGTTTTCAATAGTTTCACAGATCATGATATATCAAATTTGAATGATAAAGAAGTGTATGAAATTGAAAATAAGATGCTTGCATTTATGATGAGATTAAGAAATAGAAAATAAGAGGAGAAGAAAATACAATACAATACAGAAAGGAGGAGGAAGAATAGAAAGAACAAAAAGAAAATGAATGAATTTTTACCTTATGCATACGGATATAAGAATAATAAATCATACTGAGTTACGTATATCAGTGTGGTTAATTTTTGTGTTTAATAATGATTTTATGTACATTTAATTAGTTATCAAATCTTACCAATGTATTTAGTAATTCTGAACCAAAAGCAACACTATCAATAAATTTAACGTTATCAAACTCGGCTTCAAGTTTATTCTCTAATCCACTAAGACCTGCACACCCCAAAAGAATAGTTTTAGCACCTGAGTCAACACAAATTTTAGCTCTTTCTACTAATTTTTGGAAATATTTTGGATCACCAAGTTTCAAAACGTTAACATTAGCAGCAACTGTACCTGTAAACAATGGGATATCGACGCCACCAAAAGATGTCTTCACAGCTTCGTCCAATATTGGTTCCCAAGAGTTTGTAGATGTTAAGATACCAAATTTTTCTGGGAAGTTTGTACTAGCAAATGTGATTGATGCTTGATATATACCTTGAACAGGTTTCTTTGTGATCTCACGTAGTTTGTAAATCAAAGGATGATCTGAGTAACAACATACTAAATACCCATCATGTTTCATGTGATTATCTCTCAAGTCTGGGAAACAAGCCTCAGTTGATTGTCTTGAGGTTTCTGGACCATCTATTTCTGGTGGAGCAGTTGAAGGGCCTGTATAGAATTCTAATTTTGTCTTTGGTGGAATTGGTAAAAGATCCTTTAGGTTATCAGTGACTGACTTTGATGAGTTTGGGTTGATGATGAGGAATGATTTGGTTTCTGTATCTCCCATTTTAGCTTAGAATTAACACTTTTCTCTCCATAAGCATAGTAGAAACTTAGTTATTCGTAGAAATTGGCAGCCCTTTATATTATTTCAAATCCGTATCAGTCAAACGTTGATATTGTCTGTGTTTTCGCCGGCCGATAAGCTGATGTAATCCCCCGCGAAATGAAGGCTAGTTGTAATAAATCAAATCACTTTTTGACATATTAAGAGCTTTTATACCCAATGGCAAATTGAATCAAGTTAGGTCAAGAAATGTCTCAGAGATTCCAGGATGCTGCTATATTAGGACTAGGTCAGCTTTATGGGATCACTTCCAACTACAGCCAGAAACAGAATGACAATCCCACGTCGAAGAGAAAGCTGGCGGCAGCAACCGCTGCTTCTGTGTTAGGTGCTAGTTTTGACAAGTGGAAAGATAAAGGTGAAGAGCGTAAGCGCAGTGGAAGCAGTGGGAGTAATGGTGAAGATGACTCCAGAGATATAAGTGGTACTTTCAGTGATGGTGCTACGGATGATGATACAGATGGCTTTTGGAGAGATTCAGATTTTGAAGAAGATGGTGAAGAAAGAAGTTCTACAGATATCAAAAGAGAAAAAACAATGGATAAGACACAATCTCATTTCATTGATATATTATTGGAGAAGCTACTAGTACATGCTGTCATTCCTGATAAGAAAGATTTAGAGTTCCGTGTAAATGATCCATTGAGAAAAGAAGGTGAAAGTTTATCAATACCAAAATTCACTAAAAATTTGAGGAAAATGACTGCTAGGCTAGGTGGTGCGTTCCAAGCCCAGTATTTCATTCTGAGAATATTCCACTGGACTCAACCATCTCTGACAATTACATCTTTAATGATTTATACTTATGTTGTCTTACATCCTAATTTGTTGTTCATATTGCCTTTGATCTATTTATTATATGGAATAATGGTACCAGGTTATCTTCATAGACATCCGATTCACAAACCAAAATTACTAAAAGTCAGACCAAGAGGTGAATCTTTACTTGAATTATTTTCCAAAATTGATAACCCTAAAATGGCAGAGATTGTTGATGAAGAAAAAGCCATTGAAGAAGAGGAAATTGAAAAAAGAGTTCCAGAACTGAATGAAACAATTGATAGTAATGTAAAGCTGTTGAAGAAAAATATGGAATTCATTGTCAATATGAGAGATTTGCAAAATTCCTTGACAAATTTGTTAGGTGGTATTGACAATATTGAGAAATTTTGGTATGGTACAGCTGGTTTCAAAGATGAAAGAATTTCAACCTCGTTATTCTTCACTGTCTTCTTAACTGTTTGTATACTGGTCCTTATTGGACCATATATCCCTTGGAGGATTATGATGATAACAAATGGATGGCTGTTATTCATATTAATACATCCAAAAGTTTATCCAAAACTTATGGAATTCAATAATTTAATTAAACCACAAAAAAAGGACTTGGATAAGATTGTTAAAGATTCGGAAAGAAGAGATATTATAATTGATGATCCACCTGAAATAAAAGAGGTTGAGATATTTGAGATTTTCCAAAAAAGTTTCACTTCATCAAATTGGGAATTTTATATGTTTTCACAAAATATTTTCGATATGAGTGATGCTTATAGAAAAGCACAGAAACCACCACCTGGAGTCGCAACAATAGACTCTGTCCAACCACCAAAGGGTTGGAAATTTGAAGATGATGAACCATGGAATATAGATTATGAGTGTTTAGAATGGTGTCAAAATCGTGGATTAAGATTGAATCGTGATAATTTTATTGATGAAAACAATGAATTTCATATTGATGATGAATTCAAAAGACGAAGATTATTTAGAAATGTTATTAGATATTCAAGACCTGCAAGAAAACCTACACATGTTTTATGATTATTAATGCCTTTATGAGAATTATATATTTTTTTACAACTCACTTTATTTATAGATATAAATATATGTATATGAAATGATATTGTTGTGATGTGCATACTATTGAGCCCCTGGCATGCCTTCAAACAGTAATTTATAGCAAGGTGATAATGGATCAGCATAATGAGTATAAGGATTATCATCATCTAAATGAGATGAACATCTATAACAGAAATTTGCAGAACAAAGTGGGCATTTCATTTTATGACAGCCATCAGATTTTGTAACAACAGTGGAACATCGAGGACATTTAACCAAATTTTCATCATCTTCAATTGCCTTTTCAAATGCAATATCAGCTAAGTATTCCTTTATTGCCAGATTGAGAGTTCTTTTACCGTACTGTTGGATAAATTTCACTTTGGAATCTGAATCTAATTCTCCACTCAGCATATTCTGTATGACATCCTCAGGGATTTGATTCAACCTTGATCTGCACAGATTATTATTTCCATGCCAACTATGATTACATTGATAACAATAAGCTAATTTACAATTTTTACAAATAACCAAATTATCATCCAGATCATCTCTAAATCCCCATTTTTTACATCTTGGACATTTAGCACAAACAAAAGGGAAATAATTTTGATATTTTTCAAACAATACTAAATCTCTATCATTTTCAAACTTTTCAACAACTTCTGGTGTGTACATTTGTAATAAATCTTCTTTCTTCATACGTCTTTCAAATAGAAGTTCTCTTAGTTCAGCAGGTCCTTTACTATCTAAATTTTTCAAATTCATAATAGGGCAATTTGGACATTGTAATGTGGAAGCATATTTAGAATTCATTATTGGTTCAGAGTATTGCTTGAAGCATGATTTACAGAAAGCATGATCACAGTCTAGCAGAATTCCATTTGTACCATCATGAGATTCAATACAAATTGAACAATCAAATCTTTCATTCTGGAAAGTTGTAAATCTTACTTGATGTGATAAAGTTTCTAATAATTGATAATATTCAGGATCTTCCGTTTTGCTAGGAAATATATCACCATCAAAATCTTCAATTAGATCCACTGTAAGGTAGTTTATTAATGTATATGATAATGAATCTAACATATCATCTTTGATTGCATCTGTTCTAATACCTTCAAGTTTCATCTTCATCATTTGTAAGACATCTTCATTTAACCATTTTGATTCTAAATATATCACACCATTATTCAAAGGTAAATCAATTTTGAAGTGTAAAGGATCGAACCACCGTGTCTCAAAGGTTTTCAGGACTTGTCCAGATGATATCAACAGAATCCTGTTTTTTGTGCTGGGTATAAGTTTGATATTTAACGATATAGAACTAGAACTGATCTCTGCTTCGGGGTAAATGGACTTCAACACCTCCAGATCATCAGGGAGACCATCTTCTTCATCTGTCATTCTTGAAATATTGACATGATCTTCTCCTATCATAGACTCAATCAACGTTGAAACGAAAGTTGGTTTGAAAGAAATACTTTGGAAGGAGTTTTGCACAAATATAAGTAAAGTACAATAACAATTTATAATATTCGCGGGTGTTGCACTGACGAAAAGTTTATCATCGAGAAATTGAACAACAAAACCGTTTGAATTTAAAATTCATAGCCAAAAACGAGACAGAAATTCGAATAATTCACATCTTGAATTCATTGGTTTCTTATAAGAGAATACAGGGGAAATATGGCTAATCTACGGTCTTTTGACGCGTTTCGTGAGTGCAGTTTTCGCTTGGGTCATAGACACTATTTACTAACTATTATCATTTTTATAGCTAAAGTCGCATCAACACATGAAGTGCGTTCCACAAAAGGTTCATACTCCACCATAATGATGGGGTTATTTATCCTGTTCTTAACATGGGTGGAAGTAGGACAATTTTTCGGTGGTGAAGTGGATCATCAATTCAGAGTTGATAATAAATTACAAAGAGATCTAAGGATAAATTTAGATATAGTTGTTGCAATGCCATGTAATTTTATACATACAAATGTTAAAGATTTGACAGATGATAGATTTTTAGCAAGTGAATTGTTACATTATGAAGGATTTTCATTCTTTATACCACCAGGTTATAAAACAGATGAGAATTATGATTCAAATACTCCGGATTTAGATGAAGTTATGGCACAAGGTATAATTGCAGAATTTAGAGATCGTGGTGATGCAAAAGATTCAGGTGCTCCAGCTTGTCATATATATGGTTCAATTCCTGTGAATAAAGTATCTGGTGATTTCCATATAACTGCACAAGGATATGGTTATAGAGGGAATTCAAGATCGCATGTTGGTATTGATGGATTGAATTTCACACATATTATTAGTGAATTTTCATTTGGTGAATTTTATCCATATATTCATAATCCATTAGATGCAACTGTTCAAATAACAAAAGAACATTTACAAAGTTATCAATATTACCTAAGTGTTGTTCCAACTGTTTATAAAAAATTAGGTGTTGAAATTGAAACAAATCAATATAGTACTTCATTACAGAAAAAATTATATTCATTCGAAAATAAAGGTGTACCAGGATTATTTTTCAAATATGATTTTGAACCAATTTCATTAATTGTTGAAGATAAGAGAATACCATTTAGTACATTTTTAGTTAGACTTGCCACTATATATGGTGGTATTATAGTTGTTGCAAAATTTTCATATAAATTATTTGATAAGGCATTAATATATTTCTTTGGTAAAAGATTCGCATCAAGAGGTGAAGAAAAGAAAGGTTCATTATTAGACGGAGATGAAGAATGATATATAAATTCATGTATATGTATATATAATACAAACAAAAAACTGTATTACTAGTTTGATTTGAAAATTCAAAACTCCTGTAATATTTAATGTACAATATATTTAAAGCTAACTAGCTTCATGATACCCCACTACAAATGGGAGCCCCCAACAACTATATCCAATTGATTTCGCTTGATAACAAAGCCCTTCTGTTTCAATACCATCAAATCCATCTTCTCTATCCCATTTTGTCCCCACTGCATAATAAGGTGGGAACATTATACCTTGTTTAAAGATTTCAGTTTTAACAAATAATACAGCACCACCAACAGAATTTAATTCAAATAGTGATTTTTTATCTGATCTTTTCAATCCATATTTTGATGGATTTTTATGAATATCAGAAAATTGAATTTTATTTGGTCCAGGACCTGGTTCGAAAAATAAATTTGGATCTGCATCTTGTTCAGGAGTTGGTGTTTTTCTATCACCAGCCCAAGAATTTAAATCAAAATCTTTATGAACAACATGACCTGCACTGTTTTTCATATCAACTCTAATTGTAACGATATCTTTACCAGATTCAATAAATGTTGTGATCAAATCTTTTGGTAATTCAATCATATCAGAATCTACTGATAATGAATAAATTTCTGCACCTATACCATTAAAGACTAGGAAATTTCTTAAACGTGCAAGTAGTTTACGACGTTGTTTTTGAGCTTCTGGTTTTTGTCTATTAGCTCTATCAATTTTAAATTCATCTTCAATAAATTGTGCATTCATTAAAGTAATTTTAGAAAATGAGTTTTTCAAAGATTCTAAATCTTTTGTATTTTCAATTTCTTTAAAAATTTTAGCAACATATTCATCAAATTTTTTAAATTCATCTTTTGAACTTAACAAGATTGATAAAGAAGTTTTAGAATTTGGATAATCTAAACCTTCTAATAATGCTAAGAAATTGTTAAATTTCCCATCTTTTGAATCAATTTGTTGAGTGACTGCAGATAAAATAACAAGATCATTTTTTTCACCATCGATGTTATCATTGGGGTTTTCCTTGTTATTTGTTTTAAAAGTATAAGTTTTTTGAACAAATGATGGATTTTCAGAATTACGTTCTCTTATATTAACTTCAACAGGTTTTTGAGCATCATCTAATAATTTTTGTTTCTTTCTTTCATAACTTTTTTGCTCTCTTCTAAGCTGTCTAGACTCTTCATTATATTTTTTAACCTCAGCATCTAATTGTTCTCTTTCATATTGTAATTCACTTTCAAGTTTCTTCTTTAATAATTCATTAACTTGATTTTCAATCTTATGTTTCTCAATTAAAGCAGGATCATTATTATCAGTCAATTTTCCTGATTTGGTTCCTTCATTTGATGGTCCATTGGCACCTTTACCGTCTGATGTATCTAATGTTTCTAAATATTTGGAAATATCAGAAATTGTATATTTGTCTTGTTGATACCCATAATATATCGTGAATGACACGAGTAGGAAAAAAATCACGATATAAGTTGGTCTACTGAACTTTTTCATAGTGTTTTTGAGAATCCAGATTCTTCAGTCTATTCTTCTGACTGTCTAGCTATAGTCTGTATATTGTCCTATGCTTTTGAAGGGTTCCAACTTCCAATTTTAGTGCCAACTTAGTTTAGTTTAGTTTATGAAAATGTCTACTAGTTTATTAAATCTGTCAAAATGAAGGTACAAATGATTGAAACTTAAAGGTAAACAATGAAAACCAACAATGTGAACGAATGAGTGGTCACTGGTCACTGGTTATAAGTGATAAGATCCAGAGTATCAGACTAGCAAAGCAGCTCCCTAATAAAAATGAGTTCAATTGTGTCTCACTTCAGTGTATGAGTTATGAGTTGTCCAAATTGTAACAAGCCTGTAAAGCGCACGGGCAGCTACTACCTAAAAAAAAAGCATTACGTAAGGAATTACAAAGCTACATAGATGAATATCACTCTCTATAATTTAATTAACAACAAACTATTTACTAATGAAATGAGCAAAAAGCAGTAATAAATATGTATCAGACAACTTCAATCCTAGAATACAAATGCACAACAAAAAAATAAAATAAAAACACAAAACAGTACAACGTCTGGGAAACAATACTTTTAAATAGTATATGGCTTTGGTGCTTATCCACCAATAACGTTTTCATCAACATGATATGCAACATAATTTGGCATACCCCAACAATGATATCCTATAATATTAGCTTGGTAGCAAAGCCCTTCAGTTTCAATACCATCATAACCTTCTCTATCCCAAGTAGTTCCAATAATATAATTTGTTGGGAACATTATACCTTGTTTAAAAATTTCACTTTTGAGGAATAATACAGCACCACCTACAGAATCTAATTCTACTATGAATGATTCTTCACCTTTATGATTATATTCTTGAGTTTTATGAGCTAAATCATGCATATGATCTGCCTGGTCAGGTTTTGGAACAAATACAAAATTTGGATCTTTATCTAATAAATCTTCTTGTTCTTTTGTTGGTTTTATTCTTGTACCTCTCCATGAATTAAAATCATAATTTTCTATAGTTGTTCCTTTGGCAATACGCGGTACTATAACATCTTTATCCGTGTTAAGGAAAGTTTTAATCATGTCTGTTGGAACTTTAACCATATCACTATCTAAAAATAATGTATATGCTTCATCTTCAATTGCATTATTTACCAAGAAATTTCTTGATTTTGAAATTGTTCTTCTACGTTCTTTTTGAACGTTATCAGCATGACGTTGATCTCTTGATAATTGAGCACCAACTTTTTCAATATATTCAGCATGAATAACAATAATTTTGGAAAAAGAATCTTCAGATTCAAATTTATTAAGATAATTTATTATATTATCATATTCTTCCTTTTTACCAATTAGTAAACCTAAAGTAGCTCTATTCCAATCATATTTCATTGAATGTATCACGTCAAGATAATCTGCAAATGATCTTGTTGGTCCATAAGATTCACCATGACCAATAACACTTAATACAATTAAATCATTGATTGAAGTATCAAATCCAGTTTTCAAATATGTAACTTTTTGATAACTTGGTGATTCTTTAATGAAATTCCATTTTTTATATTGAGAATTTACAACTTCATAACGAGTTCCTTCACTCAATATGTTTAATTGGTTAACTTTATCTTGATTTATTGATAATTGTTTTGTACTTTCAACCAATTTTTCTTCATTTAATTTCAATTTAGAGATTAGGAATTTTTCATTGATTCTAAGATCATTAATATCTTTCTCTAATTGTAAAGAATTCTGTTGATTAGTTTGATATCTATTCAATAAATCATCTCTTTCAATAACTTCTTGATCTCTAAATTCCTTAAACTTGAAGATTGAAAACCCCAATATCAGTAGCAGAGACGCCACAAGTATTCTATAGGAGTAACGCATAAGCATCATATGTCACAAAGAAATCCTCACTGTCTTGTGATCTTGAGAGAGTTGAACTCAAAAAAAATTCTTGTTAATATTTTGAAAACATTTCCCAAATGTCAACACGACCTTTTTTTTTTTTTNTTTTTTTTGGATCGGATTTAATTAATTTTTTAGTTTTTCCTTCTGAGAGTCTGACACATGGCTGGAAAAGTTGAGATCTGCGTAACTTATCAAACACAGACAGCAGGCTGTGTGGTAGTTAGGCAGAGCTTAGACAGAGCTTAGACAGAGCTTAGACAGACACTTAAACAAGAACTGAATTTTATCATAGCTGTTTATTGAAGAATCCATTGATCTAGTATGACCAGGTTATCCTTTCCCTTTTAAGTTCTGATTGACTGGCTGGCTGTCCAGGTCCCGTCGTGACTCGTAAATATTCGGTGAGTGGAAGGGATGAGAATCTGAGATTTGAAGCTACGGTACTGCAGGAAAGTCGGTGAACTATATTAATTAATCAATAAATATCAGAACAACCAGGCTACAAACTTATCATAAAACCAATCTTTATCCTTCTTCCCACTCTTCAGTCTTTCTTGACGCTCAGCTTCTTCTATTTTCCCAGCTTCTTCCTCTTCATCTATAATATTTTTCAATGTATATAGATCAACTTGTTCAGGTCTATGAATCTTGGTTCTTTTCATAAATTTATAACCAAGATATGCAATCAGATAAACAGGAATACCAATGTACCCAGTTATAAAACTCTTATAATTAAATCCATTAATGAAAGCTGTGAAGTTCTTTATAAACATAACAACAATACACCAAAATAATGCAATATATGTACCATATGGATGAAATGGAGCTGAATATGCTAATGAACTCTTTGAAATTCCTTGAGCTTTTAATGCTTTTGAAAATCCAATATGAGTAATTAATATTGACATCCAAGTTAATAATCCAAAAACTGAACTAACATTAACTAAATATCCGAAAACTTGTTGTGAAGATTCAGAAATTGACATAAATCCTAAGAAACAAAATATAGTACATATACCCAATGAATAAAAAGGTATACCATATTTACTTGTTTTAGCAAATATTTTTGGTGCATTACCATTACATGCTAATCCATAAAGAGTTCTTGATGCAATATATAAATCTGAATTTGCTGCACTAAAGATAAATATCAAAAGACATGCATTTATAACATGATCTAATTTCCCAATTGAAGCATTCTTTATAGCAACAACAAAAGGTGAAGCATTTGCTGATGTAGAAGCTTTTGATGCATCAATCAATAAAGGATCATTATATGGAACACACATTCCTAATAAAATAACTCCAATGATATAAAACACAACAATTCGATAAAATGTTAACCTAATAGCTTTTGGAACTGATTTTCTTGGATTTGAAGCTTCTGCAACAGTAACGCCAATTAATTCTGTACCTGAATAAGCAAAAACTGCAGTGACAAGGACATTAACAAATGAAACGAATTTTGCCTTATCTTCACCTCCAATACCTTTAAAAGTTTTAAAAGCACCTGGTTCATTCCAATACCTAAATCCTAAACGATCATGAGTTGGACCACCTCCAAGCATTATAATAAACATTAAAATTAAAAGTCCTAGAAGAATAAAGATTTTAATTGATGATAACCAAAATTCAAATTCTCCAAATATTTTAACACCAAATATATTAACTAATAATATCAAAATTGTAATGATTGTAATCCATACCCCTGGATTCACAGTATCCCTTTTAATCCAATATTGAATAACAAGAGCCCCCGCTGTAATTTGATTAGGAGTTCCTATTAAATACTTGATCAAATAACACCAACCAACTGCAAAACCTAATGCTGGATCAACATACCTTTCAGCATATCCATTAAAACCTGAAGGTGATGGAATATAAGTTGCAATTTCCCCCAAACAACACATAACTTGATACACAATTAAACCAACAAATGTATACCCAATAAATAAAGGAGCAGGACCTGAAGAAGATAAAGCAGAACCTGAACCAATTAATAAACCGGTACCAATAGCACCACCAATTGCAATCATGGAAATATGACGTGCTTGAAGATGTTTCTTTAAACGATTTCCTTCTTTAATACCAACTTCATCTTTTAATTTTTCTAATTCACCAGTTCCATAATCACCTAATTCTTGGATGTATAGACCATCTTCTAATGTAGATTTTTCAATATCTGTATTAAACACTAAAGTTGAAGATTTTTCATTTATGGTATTCATTATTGACAAATCTTAGCGCCAATGGCTTACTTTAAATTATCCACTTGTAATCATAACTTTATTGAAAATGTAATTTGAATATATTTCCTTTCTTTATATAATTTTCAGATGAACTTTCCTGGACCCTGGTTATTATGATTGTATCTTTGATACCAAATACTAAACGTATAAACATGATGGATAGGTATTTTGAAAGATCCCCCTAATGTTGTTATCAGTTATGCACTGATAAATATGGAAATAATGACAAGGAAAGATATGAATTGAAACTTATCACCAAGCATCACATATACTTATCTTAAATCTAACAAAAATTGAATCTGTATTTAGATCTAGGACCGGATTTTTGAAACATTAAATTAGTTTATTTCCTATTCAAGATACATAACCGGGACTTAAACAGTGCTAACTTCTAAGGTTGTTGAGAAACATCGTGTACTAGTGGTCGACTAGGTGTGTAAGAAAGCCTTCAAGAGGTTGGACAATTAAAAGAGGAGCTGGCTGGCGTATCTATTATATTCATGTATTCGATATTTTATAAATATTTCTTTACTATAGTAATATTAATATCTCTAGAATCAAGTCTAGAATTACACTCCAGTATATCAATGAGCTCTAGAAAATAAAGCTGATACAATTTGCGCTATATAACCTCATTTAATATTAGTTAAATCCAACTATTTATAGCTGATATTATTGTGACGTATTGCATTTAATTTATGATATATAGAAATTTTTTTGCCGCTGAACTAACAAATTAACAAATTAATATTTAAATTTTATAACTTAAAGTGATTTGTGATCTTTTAAAATTTGGATTAACGACGACGTGTAAATTGATTGCAGCTAGATGATATACTTGTGTGATATAATATCATGTGCAGTAATATTTGATGGATTGTATTAGTATTTTAATGATCAGCAGCAGCTTATATATTAATTTTTATAACTAACAAAATATATAATTTGGATCCTTGTTTTTTTTTTGATCTGATATATGATCAATTATCAGGAAATTAGAATTATAGATATTATGTTAACATTAATATATGCATGAATTGATCATTTTAATTTGAAGTTAATTGATTTCAATTAAATGATTGACATTCATATAGATCCTTTATTTGTTTTTTTTGGGTTTATTGTAGATAATTGAATACAGCGCTTAAATTTATTTAACTATTAGTTCTACTAGTTCTACATTCTATAACTTTCATTTCAATTAAAATCAAAAAGGCATGTATATAATGAACAGTTGTAACAATTTCGAAATGAACTTAATATCAATCCATGACCAGAAAAAATCATACATTGAATCGAAATAATTGTCATATATATTTATATATATAATATGGAGGAAAAATGTTGATCAGCTCAGCTTCAAATCTTGTCTCTTCGAGTATGATTAGATCTGAATCAACAGCAGTGGTTTCTAATTCTTCAGATTCATAATCTTCTAATTGTGTGAATTTAGATCTTTCAATGTCTGGCGAATTGAACACTAAAGTCAAAAAAAGTTGATGTAAACATAACATTACAATTAAATAGTGCCTTTGATTTTTCCATCAATGTTATTCATTATTGATAAAACTGATCCACTTTTATGGCCTAATTAAATCATAATTTCATAAGGTATGATAATGGTAGGCTTGTCCCCACTCTTTATACAATTTCAAATTATCAACTTTTTTAAACCACTAGATTGACTACTATGATTATAAATCTTCCAGTCCTATTCACATAGATCCATTGTGAAAGTGTCAGTTTGATGTCCTTATCAGTCATACATGGTTAGATTTATCGATAATGTTGACAAGAAAAGATATGAAGTAAGACTTAATTTAATCACTAATCACTAATTGTACATATTAATTATTTGCCTATCGTCGTAATGGATTCTGGAAGCTGTATTAAGATCTAGACAACACCAAGCTCAGTGATTGTCGTCGTTAGTTGTTATATCCTTTTTCTTTTGCGGAATATAATCAATTTGAATCTGTTTAAGGTTCATCGATAACAGTTAGAGCTCAACTTCTAAAACAAAAGTGATTCCAATTTATTATAATTCCCAGCTCTTATGATTATATAAGCACATCATTTGTATGAATACATTTAAATTTCTTTAACTATTACATATCCTTTGAAATGAAGTATGTAGAGAATAAATTAAAAGGAGCAAAATTGTGACTTCAATCTATTGTATAAGGAAATAAAATTCAATGTTTAATTTCTAATTATTGAGAAACTTAAACCCCACCTTAATTATTCGTTATGTATGTACTATGTACTACAGCTTATAGTATATTGTTGGTTTGCCCGTTCTCGATGACAGATATAATTATTTCCGAGGGTCGATGAAACTGATTTTAATTAACCCTAGTGCCACAATTTACGCTGGCTCAGTTTACCTGGGGTTATGTTTAATCACCATTTATATATAAAGTTTACAGGAGACGTCGAATTATGCATACTTGAACTTCAAAGTTCAAACTTTGATACTCTTGATTAAATATGTTTTTGTGTTTTTGCGAACGGTTAAATTAAATTCATTTTTGACCCTCGGATTTGGTTTTCGAAATTTGATACCCAAAACCAAATATATATTAAAAGTTTACAGGAGAAGCCATCTTATGCATACTTAAACTCTAAAGCTCGAACTTTTATGCACTTATCGAACTTATTATCATCCATCGGAAATGTGTTTTTGTGTTTTTGTGAACGGTTATAAACTAAATTAATTTTCGACCCTCGGATTTCGTTATTAATACACAAAATTAAAGTATAAATTATAACACTCAAGAAATCAAAGTCTAGCTAGAAGACTAGTCTCTAATTAGAGTTCATATACTGTAAGTTCTGTAGCGGTACCGGCTAGTTCCTAGTATTTCTAAATATTAATGTTTGAAAGTCACTTCAATAATAAACCCTAATCCGAGGGTTGATTATATAATAATTTCTATAAATCAATGATTTCTTTAACTAATAATATCTCTTAAACTAATATATCTGTAAAGTTATATTACAACTTCTTCATAGATAATAATGAGCTTCTAGGTATCATGTGAATGTAATATAAACATGTTTTTTTTAGACATTTTTTTTTTGAAAATTGAATAGACACCTTCTTAATAATTTTTTAACTGCAAATTCACAAAAGTTCAAAAATGTCAAAATTTCAAAATGCGTTTTAAGCTAATTTAAGAGCATATTCACTACAAGAGCAATTCAAAGAATTAACATGAAATATTATATTATAACGTTATAGCTTCAGTTCACTGCTTAAATCCAATCATTTTAATTATTTTGACACATTTTATGAATTGATAAGGGACACACCACTATATTAAACTTATTCATGTTTGTGGTCGTTTTATTTTAAAAACATTTTAACCGCTGAAAACAAAACGTAATATAAATTCATGAAAATCCCTTTAATAATTTGTATTTTGAATATTTTTCATAAAAACCGGCAAGAATTTGTAAAAACTACCATTTGAACTTTACTTGATCCATATTTTGGAGAATATAATAAGACCTTTAATAAAGATTCTTCCTGAGTATATTGACAGTTCATCGTCTCTTGATTTCAATTGGGCGGTAATGTCAAACAACAAAATCTCATTGTTTCAGTTCAATAATAACAATGATGGTTATATTAAACTAGTTAACATAATTAATATATGTATGAATTGATCATTCTAGTTTGAAGTTAATTAATTCCAATTGAATGGTTGATATTCATATGAATTCTTTAATTATTTCCTTCAGTTTATTGTAGATTGTAGGTATTTGATACAGCGCTTAATTAGATCTACACGTTCACAATATCATCAATAACAGCTTGACTAAAAAATTGTGTATTGAACAGATGTAATGATTTCGAAATGAACTTTATCAATCCATAAACAGGAAAACCATACTCCATATCAAATTTATAAGCTATTCAAATCTTCAAGCTTTTTCTCTTCAAGTATGATCAAAATGCAAAATATGCCATCTGATCACCCTTCATGTTGTGATACCTGAGTTTTGAATGATTAAATTTAGAACAAATGGTAGAAGATGACATTGTCGACATAAGAACTTTCAATATCAGAACTGACATGGAACAATGAGATTCGTGAACAACGAGGTGATTCCTCTAAACGTCCCTCTTGAGAAAAAAGTTGGATATCTAGTCCTTATATAGAATTTTAGACATCTATAGTTAATATGATACACAATTGATATACACTACGCATATGTTTTTAAAGTCTTTCATTGCATTCCTAATCGGGATATAACAATGAATTCTTAATCAAAACCCAAGTAACATCATCTTAACTCATGATTAATTGTTTGGTTATTCACAAGATATGTCAATAATTCAATAAACTAGATCAAAGATATACATATTTATGATATATATGATAGCAAAAATAAATCAAATAATTGGCGTACAGTTTTCTGCGTCTAATTTTGTATGATTAAAACTAGTTTAGACCATTGTAATTTTTAATGGATAATGTACACTCCATATCATTGTAATGTCCATATTGAGAATCCAGTCATCATCTTTTGAGCTACTATGATAATTCAATATAGTATTGTCATTGTTAATTGAAATATCAATGGCTTAATTTAAACCAGTTATAGACTTATCTATATCGAAGAAGTCAAATCCGTTTATTTTATAGGTTGATTCTTTAATAAAGATAATTGAAATCAACGTTATAATAATGAATATAATGATCACAAGTGAAGTAAATGTAGTAGCGTATTATCACAAATTGTTTAAGCGATCACTGTATCGAAATGTCTAGTATAAATAGAGCTGTGATTTCTTTTAAATACTTTTAGAATTTAGCCCCCCCTGAAATCAGGAAAAATTTAAAAGTATATAAAGAGGGAAAAAGTAAAATCTAAACACTCCTCCCTTTGTAATTAATTGATATTTTGATCCATATACCAATAAATTCTTGAAAATTAAAATCTGGATGAACTAACTTTTAAAGTTCATCTGATTTATAATATTTAAATATTTGGAAATACTTTTTCTTAATTGCATTAAGTTTGCTTATTCTTGATACCATTCACCAAATAACAGATTTGAATGAAACAACAAAGGAGTAATTATAGAACATCAATAAGTCTACTAAATAGATTTAAAAAGTTGTTGTTGAATTGTTTCTCAAATTATCAATTGTATCATGACATTCAGATATCAGGAGCTACAAATTAGCTACCATCAATATACGTATGAATTGATCATTTTAATTTGATGTTTATTAAGCTCAATTAAATGGTTGGTATTCATATAGATTCTTTAATTATTCTTCAAGATGGTTTGTAGATTATTTAACACAGCGCTTAATCATTTAACTATTAGTCTGTACTGGCTATACAACTCTACAATTTCAATTTCAAAAAAAAATGTATATTGAAACAGATGTAATGATTTCGAAATGAACTTTATCAATCCATAAACAGAAAAATCATACACTGAATCAAATTTAAGTGTTTATAAATAAATCTTGATCAACTATATTTCAATTGTTGTATTTTCAAGGATTAGTTATAAGAAAAGAAACAAGATAATGTGATAGTTAGTAGCTTCCAAATCGTTACACCAATGATCTAAAATAATTTTTATAAAACAATATTTGACCAAATTTTAAAACGTAGCATGTCGATTTGAACTCAAACTTTGTTATTGGGAACAATTATGACACAATAGAGGTAGTATATTCAACATAACATTCTTTAACATAATTATATTCATATAATTTATAGTTATTTTCTTCATCTTTTATATTTCAAAACATAGCAATTAACATCATTAAAATTAATGATCACAATAGAAGTTGCACGAAACAAAGCTTAAATAAAACCCCAAACATCAAACTTTATCAACCTTTTACTTACATTAAGCTTTACAAATTAATTAAAACACACTTAAAAAACAAATTTATTATATCATTAAAAACACATGAAATCTAAATATACAAGAAAAGCCAGCTTTACTAAAACAATAATGATCTTTAGAATAACCAACCAATAAAAGTTTCATAAAACCAATATAAATCTTTTTTACCATTTTTTAAACGTTCTTTACGTTCAGCTTCATCAATTTTACCTTGTTCTTCTTCTTCATCAATAAAATTTTTCAATGTAAATAAATCAACATCTTCAGGTCTATGAATTTTACCCTTTTTAATAATTTTATAACCAAAATAAGCAATAACATAAACTGGAATACCAATATATCCAGTAATAAAACTCTTGTAATTGAAACCATTAATAAATGCGGTAAAATTTTTAATAAAACAAACGACAATACACCAAAATAATGCAATATATGTACCCCAAGGTTGGAAAGGTGCAGTATAAGCTAATGTCTTTTTGGAGATCCCTTGGGCTTTCATAGCTCTTGTAAATCCAATATGTGTTAATAAAATAGAAATCCAAGTTAATAACCCAAAAATTGAAACAACATTAACAAAATGACTGAAAACTTCTTGTGATGATGAAGAAACAGCCATATAAGCCAAACCACAAAATGCAGTACAAACAGCTAATGCATATGATGGAATACCATATTTATTTGTTTTAGCAAATATTTTTGGTGCATTACCATTACATGCTAAACCATAAAGAGTTCTTGAACCAATGTATAAATCTGAATTAGCAGCACTGAAGATGAAAATTAATATACATCCATTAATAACATGATCTAATTTCCCAATTGATGCATTTCTAATAGCAACGACAAAAGGTGAAGCATTTGCAGATGTTGATGCTTTAGAGGCATTGATTAATAATGGATCATTATATGGAACACACATTCCTAATAATAAAACAGAACAAACGTAAAAAACAATAATACGATAAAATGTTAATTTAATTGCCTTTGGTACAGATTTTCTTGGATTTGCAGCTTCTGATATAGTAACACCAATTAATTCTGTCCCTGAGTAAGCAAAAACAGCAGTGACTAAGACATTAACAAATGAAACAAATTTTGCCTTGTCTTCACCTCCAATACCTTTAAATGGTTTGAAAGCACCTGGTTCATTCCAATATCTAAATCCTAAACGATCATGAGTTGGACCACCACCAAGCATTATAACAAATAATAAAATGATTAACCCCAAGACAATCAAAACTTTTAATGATGATAACCAAAATTCAAATTCACCAAAAATTTTAACACCAAATATATTAATTAACAATATAATTATAATGAATATTGTTATCCAAACACCTGGATTAACTTTATCTCGACTAACCCAATATTGTAAAACTAATGCACCCGCAGTAATTTGATTTGGTGTAACAATTAAATATTTAAATAAATAACACCAACCAACTGCAAACCCCAATGAAGGATCAGCATAACGTTCAGCATAACCATTGAACCCAGATGGAAGAGGGATATAAGTTGCAATTTCACCCAAACAACACATAACTTGATAAACAATTAATCCAACAAATGTATAACCAATAAATAATGGAGCAGGACCTGATGAAGATAAAGCAGACCCTGAACCGATAAGTAAACCAGTACCAATAGCACCACCAATTGCAATCATGGAAACATGACGAGCTTTTAAATGTTTCTTTAGACGATAACCTTCTTGAACACCCAAGACATTACTTTGAACAGGATCTAATTCACCATTTGAATATTCATTAATTTGATTTATTTGTTGATCATTTGAAAAACCATTTTTTTCAACATCATTATAATAAAAATCTTGTGATGTTTGTTGTGAAGATTTTTTATCTAATGAATTTGTCATTATGAATATTACCTATACTCTTAATAGATGAGTATATAGATGATAAATGATGGAATGTTTTGTATATTTATATTTATAACTGTTTAATCAAAGGGCAAATCCAAGAGAATAAAAGGCATCAAAAGGTGATCGCAATTAGATCCATTTAAGAAAGTGAAATAAGTACTTGATGGGATTTAATTCAAATTTGATAATCAATGATAAGAAATACGAAGACAATTTAAAGATAAGTGCATAAACAATAAACAGTGCAATTTATCAATAGATCAACAGTAATTTAGATAAAATAGACTATTCATATTGTTATCATCACTTCTTAAGGGTCCACTGGTACACTCATTGACACTCCACCGGTCCATCGTGTTTGTGTTTCCCTCTTTGATGATCTCTTTTTCTTACTGTTTACTGTTTTCATTTTTTCATTTTTCATGGTCATCTTATCAGCGCATTTGGACCAAAACCAGACTGGGGTTGTGATACTTGTGATGCCGTGTGTGATAAGAGTGCTAGGCAGAGTGTGGAAGAGCTAGGCAGAAGGGCTAGGCAGAAGGTGAGGCTACACACAGAGATTACAAAGGGTCTTTTAGGGTCCTTGAATCACCATCCCCTCTTATCGGGCTTCCGGTTCAAAGATTGGTGAACATTCAACTGTACAAGAAGTTCAAGAAGTCAAGAAGTGAAGAAGTCAAAAAGTAAAGAGTTAAGAAGGCTGAAGTATCAAGACATCAGGACATCAAAAGACTATTTGATTATAGCTTTGGAAGTATATAGATTATATGATATCAGATTGTATCATATGATTGTAATTGTAACACCCTGAATGACCAGTGACCACTGACTATACCCACTAACAACAAAGTACCATCAGCTTGTATCCAACATGACTCTGTCCATCCTTCTCTGACTTCTTCTCTCGACTAGTACCACTTTTTAGCCTTTTATACTTTTATTCGCCGTTGAGTATTATAATCTCGTATATTTAATGATGATGAATGACTATTGTAAGACGATGATTATACTGGCCAATTGTTATTATTCTCGTTTATGCAGGATTTACAAGATTTAGTTTAAACGTTGACAAGTTATTGTTATACTGTTATACTGTTGTGGGCTAGATTGATCTATTATGTATATTAAGTACCCACCCCAATTGATTATCATTGATCAATGATCTTCTACGATGATTTCCCAATTCATTTCATATATCTCTTGTATTAACTTTTAAATTAAAATAAATCTAATAAATCTTTTGATACACTATTATTTTGTTGTGTCTGTTGTTGTTGTTGAGGTTGGATACTTGAAGAACTAAATAAATCATTTAATTCATCCAATATATTAATTGATCCTCCATTTCCATCAATTTGATCTTCTGATGGAGTTGAAATACCTTCATCATCATCAAAATTTAATAAATTTTCTTCATTTTGTAAATTTAATTGAATATCTTTAATTTTTTTAATTTGTGTTGTCTTTTTAGTCTTTGATACACCTGTGGTAAAGAAAACTGAATTTAATGATGAAATTTCTTTTAATAAAAATTCTAATAATTCTGGTTGAAATTTTGGTATTGTATTATCAATCTTGTCTAATTTTAATAAAATTAATTTTTTCAACTCTTGGGAATCATTTAATGATAAAATTCTCCAATATAAATAAATTTGATCTCTAATTTCAATATTTTCAATTAAATCAACTTTATTAAAAATTTGTGCTAATAATGATTTTAATTCTCCAGTCTTGACATTTAATTTAACTAATGAATAAATTAATGATGATTGAATTTGTGAATCTAATTCTAAAAAATTTTCAACATATTCAGTTAATTTAATTTCATAATTTAAAACATTTTCAAATTCCCCTAAAATCCAAATATATGCTGCAATTGCTTCAGAATCAATTAATTGATCTTGAATTTGCACCAGTGTTGGAATAATTATTGATGATTGTTGTTTTGGATATGCTCTTAATATATCTCTTAATGTTATAGTAACTGTATCATATAATTCACGTTCATTAATTAATCCAATTAAAATTTCACTTGATTTTGTACCAAATTTGGAAATTTTAATACCAATTTGTCCAATTGCTCTAACTGCTCTTTTAACAAATTCAACATCAAATTCATAACCATATTCTTTTAATTCATTTAATATTAATCCTCCATTTGTTTCATTTGCTAATCTTACAATAATTTCAATTTTTTCTAATTTTAAATATAATGGATCATTATATCTAACAAAGAAAACTTTAAAATAATTTGTTAAAATATTTGGATATTTTTCAATTATAATTCTAATATTTCTTAATGTAACAAATTGAACTTCTGGTGGTGTTGAAACTAATGAAACTAATGGTGATGATAATTTTTTCAATATTGTTTCATATTCTTCCAAATTAACAGATTTAATTTTTTCAACATTTACTATAATAACTTTAACTGCAGATAATACAACTGATGGATTTGAATGTTGTAATTGTGGGATAACTCTTTCAATTATATGACTTGATTCATTACCATCTTCAGTTTCATAATCACTTAATGCAGTTAATATAGTAATTCTCCCCCATTCTGTACATTCATTTAATGCCATTAAAAATCTTTTTAAAACTTCTTTAGTAATTTTCAACACTTGTAAATCAGGTTCAGATTCATGAATTTCTGCTAATGCACTAATTGAATTTGCCACAACCATTGGATTTGAATCTTCAACTAATTTTTTCAATTTATCTAAAAATCCATTTTCAATACAAATTTCTTTATTTAAATCAAATAATTTTGCAACACAAATTGCTGCAGTTTTACGAACATAAGGATTTTCATCTTGTAAAGTTCTATTTAATGGAATTTCCATATAATCAACAATCTTATCAACTCTAATACATCCCATTGTTCTTATAGCTAATGCTCTAACCAAAGGATTTGGATCCTCGGTATCTTGGACAAATGTGTTAACAGCTAATATACATAATTCTGGATTTGTTTTAGCATAATTCATTAAATATAAATAAACTAATTTTTTTTGTTTTAAATCATGAGTTGCAATGTTTTTTAAAACATCTGGAAATAATGCTGAAACATCTTTACCAACAGTCATTGCTGCAATGACTTGTTTGATGGAATCTTTTCTTTCAGATGCATATTGTGATACTAAACCTGCTCTTAATTCATATGTTTCACCTATATCCAAATTTGTTAGTACCCTATTATAATAAACAAAGATTATCCGAATCACATACCTTTTCTTGGTGCTTGAAAGATCTTTTTGATCTTCTTTTCTAATGACATTTTGATTGTTTGCTTCCCTCTATAATTGAATCTTTATATCTTAAATTACGTGTTGATGTTTTTAAATCTTATTGACAGGTGGAATGAAACGTGAACAACACCAAACAATACCGTGATAATAACCTCTATTCTCTCAATCAACAGTAATAGACCAAAAGCACAAGAAACCTCTTTACCTTCCTAGACTGAACCTAACCTGTGGTATCAAAACTCCCTTTCTGATTGAATTGATCTTGTATGTTTTCTAACCGTTTACTTTCAATTTCTCGATTTGATTCAAAAGATTCCAAAATATCCACTTCAACAAAAACAAAAACAAAAAAAAAACACTGTCAAAATAGCGCGTGTCAATGTTAACTATGGTGGAAATTTACCATGTAATAAAACTTGAACAATACTACAACTTCAATCAAATCTTCAAAGATTTAAACAATCATGCCAATTGAATTAGGACTAAACAAGATCTCTTCCCTGCTCACAAAGCTAGGGAATCCACAATTGAAATCAAACTTCATCCATATCGCAGGTACCAATGGGAAAGGTTCAGTTTGTGCATATTTATCTTCAATATTAGTTTCAAATACAATTAATAATTTCAAAATTGGTAAATTTACATCACCACATTTATTAGATCGTAATGATTGTATCACATTAGATAATGTTCCAGTTCCAATGGATAAATTTTTGGAAATTGAAAAACAAATCTTGGAAATAAATTCAAAATTTCAAATAGGTGCTACAGAATTTGAAATATTAACTGCAATTGCTTTCCAAGTTTTCAAATTGGAAAAAGTTGATTTAGCTGTTTTAGAAGTTGGACTTGGTGGAAGATTAGATTCAACAAATATTGTTTCAAATGCTGATATTGATGATGATCTAAAAATCATTAAAAAGGGGGTATTAATAACTGGTATAACTAAAATTGGTATGGATCATGAAAATATCTTGGGTTCAACTTTAAAAGAAATTGCTAATGAAAAAGCTGGAATTATTAAAGCTTTAACACCGAATGTCATAGATGGAACAAATCATAAAGATGTATTAGAAGTAATACGGGATAAATGTGATGAATTTGAAACTCGTTCTTTTGAAGTAAATCCTAAATCAAATGAAATTCAAACAAATTGGGGTATTATTGATAGAAATATTTCACCATTACAAGGTGATTATCAATTACAAAATTTATCAATATCTTTAAAAATCTTAGATTTATTATTCCCATTCTTATACAAAAATTATCCAAATTTTTTACAATTTAATCATGAAAATATAATAAAAGGTATCAAGAATGTTCAATGGGCTGGAAGATTACAAACAATTTATTTACAATATACACCAAAAGAACATCCTGTTAGAGTGTTACTAGATGGTGCACATAATGGTCAATCTGCGGAACAATTAGGTGCATTCTTAGATTCAAAATATGGTAAAGATTCATCTAAAACTTTTATTATTGCAGTTACAAAAGGTAAAGATTTAAAATCATTATCATGTCCATTAATTAAACCACAAGATAAAGTTATATTTACAAAATTTGGTCCCGTGGATCAAATGCCATGGATACAGGCAAATGATCCAAATAATCTAAAAGAACAAATTTCTGATATTACTCAAAATGTTATTATTGAACCTGAAATTGCTAAAACTTTTAAACATGCTGAACCTGGGAATGAAATTGTTGTTTGTGGTAGTTTATATTTAGTTGCTGAAGTTTTAAGATTACATAGAGGGGATTTCAACAAATAAATAATATGATTCGAATTGGTTATACAATATTGTTATGATCTTAATTTTTGATCTTTTTGTGATGTTGCCTAACACGAGAACCTATATCAGAATCATCTGTAGCTTCACGCTTTGTACCATGTTTTGTCTCAGAGTCTTCTCTAATATCTTTTCCAGGCTCTTTTTTCAATTGCTCTTCATCATTGACATCACTTTTTGATTCTTCATCTTCTTCAACACTCTTAACTTCTTCCTTCTCTTCCTTAATATTGGCATTCTGGTTTTTCAGTCCATTAATAACATCTCCTTGTTTCTCATCCTTCTCCACATCATCTTCCTTCTTTACTTCCTTAGTCTCAGGTTTTTTATTCTTACTAAAGAAATCTCCAATTCCACCTTTTTTAAGAGGTTTTACTAAATATTCACCATCATTACTAACTTTCCCAACATCTTTTGAAACTTCAAACCATTCCAAGTCATCTTTACCATACTCTTTCAAGGCACTACCTAGTGAATCATCCCATTCTTTGGTATTATCTAACCATAAATCCCATTCTTTTGTACCAGGCTCTAATACAATTGGCATTCTTTCATGTAACCATTTTGTTTGTTTTGGTGCAGGACCTGTTATGATTGTAAAACTTTGGAATTTATCATCAGGTGTATCTTGATAATTAACATTATCATATAATCCTGCTAAAAATATTAACTTTTTATCTTTTCTACGTAGATAATATGGTATCTTTTCAATTTTTTTAGATTGACCTATTGGTTTATGTAACCATTCATAATAGCCTTCGATTGGAACAACACAACGACTATGTTTACGCACTGGTGCCCATAATTTTTGACCTGATATTACTGATTCTTTCCTAGCATTAAAAGTTTTAGATTGATCTGCATCTTGTTTTTTCTTGGTCCAGAATGGGATTAATCCCCATGTAGCATATTGAATTATAGATTCACCATCATGATCTTTTCTAAAAATTGGTGCATATTTAGTCGGGGCCATGTTATATGTTGGATTTTGTTTAGAAGAATCACGGATATCTTTGACTTTTAAATTATCATATTTGGCAAATGCATTGTTTAAATCACCTGAACCCTTTAAAATAATACGTTGTTAGTACATTCGATTCCAAATCACATTATAATATATCATGCGACTCACAAGTGACATTGCATATCTTCCACACATCTCTATAACACAATTATAACTATCTTTATAAGCCTGCTAAAGATTTAATATGTAAACACTTATTCAGTTCAATTGATGGACTCTTTTCAACTTTTATACTCTTAGAAAGTTGGTTTGCTCTGTCAGGGTGGTACGGGTATAGATTAAATTTAACAATAGACAATAAGCACCATCAAACTGGTAATTTTGACAGAAATTTAGTTCAAATTGAAACATTCTTAGCCTAATATTCATAAATGTCCTCTTTCATCTTTAATGAGCTACTTGTAGTTTTAAAACATATCCATATGCCTATAATGTACATTTTTTAAAGCGGTGACACGTGACTGTCATTACGACACGGGTCACTTTACTTGCTTTGATTTTCGAGATGAGTTCTATATAGTTTAAAGGCAAATTGTTTAAAGTAAAAAGAATAGCATAATACGATAAGCTACCTTCAAAACAGAATAGAATGTTTAGAAGTTGTCGTCAATTAAGAGGTTCTGCTCCTATACTGAGACAACTCTGTACTTCCAGAATACAGACAGGACCTAGCTTAAGATTCTCATCACATTATGCTAGACAACATGCATCAAATTATGGAAGAAGAAGTTGGTCAAAAATAATTCTTACCACTCTTGGTGGTATTGGTCTTATAGGGCTCAGTGCATGGTGGGTTTATTGGCCACATCATACCTTCCCAAAATCAGTTGCAAAAATATTAAGAAAAGGTCTATGGGCTGAATCGGATAAAGGTGAGAAAGATTACCAAACTGCATTAAAGCATTATTTAGAAGCTTTAGAAGAAGCTGATAAATTTGAATTAGATCCTTTAAGTGATGAATACACTGGTATACAATTAAAAGTTGGTGAAATGTATGAAAGATTGAATATGAATCAAGATGCCTTGATGGTTTATTCTGAAATAGCTTCAGCTTATTTAGATGCATTAACTACCCCAGGTAAAATTCCAATTCCAAGAAGACCTCATATCATTCAAAAAGATTTAAGAGTTGTTGTTAAAATCGTTGAACTTAATAAAGGTAACCCATATGCTTCCAAGATGTTATTAATGACACATTTCTTAATTGCTCAAGAAGAAGTTGCTAAAAGAAGTAAAACAGTTTCTAAATTGATTAAAGAAGAAAAAGAACAAATTTTACAAGAAGTTTCACAACAACAATCACCATATTCAAATCCAATTAAAGAAGATTCTTTAAAAGTTGGTGAAGATGAGAAAATCGTTGTTATTGAAAAGAACAGAGATGCTTGGGAGCCTTTCCGTGATGAATTGTTTAATGCAAGAGATCTTTATGTTGCAATTTCATTAGCAACTGGTGATTTACAATCTGCTGTTCGCACTAAAATTGCGACCACTGAATGGATGTTAAATGCTGATTGTGATCCAGGTGAAATTTTAATGTCACAAGCTAATTTAGGTTCATTAATGTATTTACAAGCCGAAGAATTTGAAGCTAAAGAATATCGTGCTATAAAGCAAAAATTAGAAGAATCTAAAATTGCATCTGAAAGATTTAATAAAAAAAGTTGTCTTGACTTGGCTTTGAAATGTTATGAATCAGTTTTAGCATTTTCTAAACAATTACCAGCTCAATTACGTCGTGAAGAAAACGTTGAAGAATCTATTGCTCTTTCCACATATGGTTTAGGTGTTATTAAATTACATTTAGGTGAACTAGATACAGCTAAAAATTTGTTACGTGAATCAAGATTAAGAGCTAAAGGTAGTGGATTTAATGATTTAGTTGTTGAAGCTGAAAGAGAATTGGAAAAATTGGGTAAAGAAGTTGAAAAATTAGAAAAAGAAAACACACAAAAGGAGTATGAACAAGAAAGAATCAAAAAGTTATTGGAAAACAAAGGTGAACAACCTGATATAGAACTTGATATCCAACTAAACAAGCATAAATAAGCAATATCGTGTATATAAAATGTAATGATTATTATATAAAACAACTATCTTTTGCTTATGTAAGACACAACTAAAATTATTTCGCGGTGACTAAACTCAAAATTGACCAAAATCTTGAAAATCCAATATCAACATCGTCTGATTGGTAGTGAACCCCAGAATTTACCATCTATTGAGTTAGAAAGTCACATAAAAAAGGTATACACCAGATGAATTTTACGAGGCTCTTACGTTCAAGCTCTGTGCTGAAGGGCTCCTCAGTCAGGCTAAGGACATTTGCCACTTCAAAACCTTATCTAAATCAAGCTACCAGTGCTGCTGAACGCAAGTCCATAATACCGAACCATTCTTCAAATACATCCCTTAACTATGAAATAGACCCAGAATCACCAATAAATAATAATAATGATCTTATACAGAAGGTCTTTGATGATGATTTGTTTTGGAATAAGTTCAACAAGCAAGACAAGGCCACTGTTGGGGCTAATATACCATTTCTGAATAGATTTAGTAAAAATTCAGGATTATTTCAGAATCCATATTTAACATCACCATCAGGTTTGAAAGAATTTAGTAAAGATTCTTTAATAAAGGCCAAAGAACTTGTTTATAAAATGACAAATGATCAAAGCCCAGAAGCTTTAAGAAATTATATAACAAATTTGGATAGACTAAGTGATGTTTTATGTCGTGTGATTGATCTTGCAGAGTTTATTAGAGTTGTTCATCCTAAAAAAGCATTCATTAATGCTGCTCAAGAGGCTCATGAAGAAATGTTTGAATTCATGAATGTGTTGAATACAGATGTTGATTTATATTTGATTTTAAAGAAAGTTTTAACAGATGAAAGTATCGTTAAACATTTGTCACATGAAGAAGTTCAAGTTGGACAAATTTTATTAGCTGATTTTGAAAAATCCGGTATTAATATGGATCCTGATACAAGAAATGATTTCATTGAATATTCACAACAAATTGCCATCTATGGTCAACATTTTACAAATGGCCTTGGTGAAACTGATAAAGATTACATAGAAATTCCAACCGAAAAATTATCCGGTTTAGACAAAACAATCACCAGTCACTTAACAACAGATTTAAGAAGAACCAATTATAAAGTTCCTTCATGGGGTTATTTACCACATGTTATTCTGAGATATTGTAAAGATGAAGACGTCCGTAAGAAGATATGGGTTGAACTACATAGTACAACAACAAATCAAGTTCAATTATTAGAAACAATGTTAAAATATAGAGGTGTCTTGGCTCGTATTATGCATAAACCAAATTTCTCAGCTTATCAATTAGATGAAAAAATGGCTAAATCACCAGAACATGTTATGAATTTTTTAAATAAATTAGCTGAAGAAACTAAACCTCATGCTATTCAAGAGCTCAGATTGTTATCTAATTTAAAACAAAAGGAATTAGGTGATACCAGATCATTAACAAATACCGAAGTGGCTGATTATTTAAAACCATGGGATAGAGATTATTATTCCCATTTGTACTCTACAAATCAAAGATCAAGTGCATCAGAACAAATTAGTTCATACTTCTCATTGGGTGTTGTTTTACAAGGTTTGTCCAATTTATTCAACTCCATTTATGGTATTCAATTAATTCCAAGTCAAGTTCAATCAGGTGAAATTTGGTCAGATGATGTTAGAAGATTGAACGTTATTGATAGTAAAGAAGGTCTTGTTGGTATTGTCTATTGTGATTTATTTCAAAGAAAGGGTAAAACACCAAATCCAGCACATTTCACTGTTTGTTGTTCTAGAAAAATATATTCAGATGAAGATGCTGAAGATTTAAAATTAGTTCAAACTGGGAAATCTAAAATCACAGGTGAAGAATTTCAATTACCTGTTATTTCATTAGTTTGTAATTTTGAAAAAAATCCAAGTATTGGAAGATGTTTATTATCATTAAATGATGTGGAAACTATTTTCCATGAAATGGGTCATGCTATGCATTCAATGCTTGGTAGAACTTCGTTACATAACATTAGTGGTACAAGATGTGCAACAGATTTTGTTGAATTACCAAGTGTCTTAATGGAACATTTTGCTAAAGATCCAAGAGTTATTCAAACTTTTTCGAGACATTATCTTACAGATGAACCAATTCCATTACAATTATTGGAAACTTTTCAAAATGAAAATAATTATTTAAAACATACTGAATCATATTCACAAATCAAAATGGCATTATTAGATCAATATTTACATTCAAATGTTGTTTTATCTAAGACATTCAATTCAACTGATATTTATCATGAATTAGAACAAGAATTACAAATCCTTGCAGATCCAGAATCAAACTGGCAAGGTAGATTTGGTCATCTCTTTGGTTATGGAGCTTCATATTATTCATATTTATTAGATAGAGCAATCGCATCAAAAGTTTGGTTACATTTATTTGCATCAAATCCATTAGATAGAACTAAAGGTGAAAAATTCAAAAATGCAGTTCTAAAATGGGGTGGTGCTAGAAATCCATGGGTTTGTGTTGCTGATGCTCTAAATATGCCAGAAGTTAGTTCAGGTGACGCTAAAGCTATGGAACTAATAGGTGAGACTGAACTCAAGATATAGTAATACCATTTATATATACATATTTATACAACACATCAAATGCATATTTACATTGACTAAATATAAAACTACAAAGTAAAAAAAAATTGGTATCCAAAATTAAATCTTATCCTTTTTGTTTGTTTTATTCATTATACAACCGATAGTCAGTTAAACAATCTAACTACTGGTCATGACTTGCCAGACACGGATGATAGAATCAGTGTAACCAGCGAATAAGTTTTGACCATCAGCGGACCAAGCTAATGAGATAGCTTCTGGATCTCTAGCTTTACCTGAGGTAGCGAATTCTGGTTTTAATTCATCAACAACGGTACGTTCTTCCAAGTTGAAAACTTTGATGGATGAAGCAGTAGCAGCGGTTAACCAGTATCTGTTTGGAGAGAAAGCTAAAGCGTGAACTTCATCACCAGCGTTTAAGGTGTATAAAGTTTTTTGGGTGTTCAAATCCCATAAGATGATTTGACCATCTTTACCAGCTGAAGCAACTAAAGTTCCATCTGGGGAGATAGTGATGGTTGAAACGTAACCGGTGTGACCAATGTAATCAGCAGTTAATTGGTAGTTTGATAAATCCCATGACTAAAAGTAACTTGTTAGTATAAAAATTCATATTAAAGCCATAATTGAACAATATTAAAGTAGAAAAAAATCCTGAATTCTAAACTCAAAACTTTGATGAATTATCAGAGATCTTGGTGATTAAAATATGTCTCATTCGAGGTAGATAGCCTCGTCCGAAGTAGCAAATATATGTAACATCATCTAATCAAAATCTTGAGAAAACGAATTCAATATTTCTTCCTAAATTGTTCAATGAATTCAAATCAAAAAAACTTACTTTAACTAATTTATCCCAACCAGCTGAGATAACAGTTGGAGCATCATCTGGGGAGAATCTAACTGATGAAACCCAGTCAGAGTGACCAACTAAAGTGGACATACATTTACCAATGGTGTTCCAGACTTTAACGGTTTTATCTCTTGAAGCAGAGACAATTTGTCTTGAGTTTTTAGCAATTGAGACTGATAAAACATCACCACTGTGACCAACAAATCTTTGGGAACATTCACCAGATTGTAAGTTCCATAATCTTAAAGTTTTATCCCATGAAGCAGATAAAGCGAATAAACCATCTGGGGAGATGACAGCATCTTGGACAATGTGTGAATGACCTTTTAATGATTTCTTTGGGACACCATATTGTTGATCATCACGGGTTAATTGCCAGGTGATTAAAGTTTTATCACGGGAAGCTGATAATAATAAATCTGGTTGAGCTGGGGTGGTAGCTAATGAGGTAACCCAACCGTTGTGACCTTCTAATGATCCTCTTAAGACAAGAACTTCTTTGGTAGACATTGTTAATGAAATGTTTGATGATCCTCTTCAAATGTTCAAAGTAAATACAAGTATGTTGATGAAGATAAATTTTTCAGACTATGGTGTTGGTGAGTATTTTTCCTTCACTGTGGTGTGTCGCTAACCGCTTTTTTTAATTTTCCCATCGATAATCGATTTCAGAAATTTTGAAAATTTGAAAAATTACTATTATTTAGGTACCACGTTTACACAGATGAATGTTAGCGCTCTCAGTACTTTTCAGCACCGGTGTATACACCCGAACATCACCCTTCATCAAGTTGTGACTGTCTTTCATGATTGTCCATCCAGACATTATCCGCGAAGTTCATGGCACGTTGACCATGACAGACTGAATCGTGCTCGAGAGCTCCATAGATACCGATAAGATTGTACGTGTAAATGTTGATGATTACATGCGCTTGAATTGTGTCATATTTAGATCAATTGATCAGTAAAGAGTCACTAACCTTAAGAAAGATTTCCAGAATGCCAGACGAACAACATCAATTTGTCCAAGATAGACTAGATGCCTTACATGAAATCGATGCTGTGAGTTGTTTGTTTACATTACCATAATTTACAAGTATTTAGATCAATTACTAACTGGTGATCTAGAAATTAGTATCAGTTTTAAATCATTCTTCATCTGCTTTATTCAACCTTACACAATTAAAGAAGAATGCTTCAAATAAAAATGAGCTTGCAAAAGTCAAAGAAGATTATCAGAAGGATATTAAAGAATTTTATTCAGATTTAGAATTTGCTTCAATTAACCTAAAGAAAGAAATTAAACATCTTGATGATAGAATTGGTAAAACCGATGATAATGGTATAACAATATTACCAATTAATATTAATAAAAAGGCTACATGGGCTGGTGAAGAAAAATTAAAACAACAATTAAATCATATTGATGAGAATTTAAAATAATTATGAACTCACATCGTTAATTCAACAAATACATAAAGAATAATAACAATAATCATAATACCTAATATGGGTTCAAACATTATAGAGATCAACTCTATTGTCTTTTTTCAAAAAATCCAACAGCTAAACCGATCAATCCAATCAATATAGTGATGATGGCTAATCCATAATTATGATCTCTAACTCTTCCAGTTCTACCAAAAGTTGGAGTTGGAATTAAAAAGAATTTACTCTTTGCTAAATCAAAATTACTAACTGGTGGATATTTGGCATCAAATAATATTTCAGTCCAATATGGATTACTCAATTGAGCTCTTTCATGAGTAAATGCATCAAATGACCATTGTCCATGATAATTACCATAACCTGAATTACCAATACCACCAAATGGAATATTTGATAATCCAACATGAATCATACTATCATTAATAGATAAAGCACCAGATCTTATTTGAGATGATATATATTTAATTTCCTTTTTATCTTTAGAATATATGTATAAAGCTAATGGAGTATCATGATTTGTTATAACTTGATCAATTGTATCATCTAAATTAGTATATTTGATTATTGGTAATACTGGACCGAAAATCTCTTCACTATATAATGAATCATTGAATGAAACATTATCAACAATAATTGGTGGGACGAATCTTTCTTGTTTGTTTGCAAGTGATAAATCACCATGAATAATATCACCATTTGTCTTCTTAACAAGACCAATAACTCTTTCCCAAGCATTGTCATTGACTAATTTACCAAATGTTTTCACATCAGCTGGATATAACTCATCAACGGCTTTTTTCAATGCAATTACCAATTCATCATGAATTGAAGCATCAACCAGGATATGATCAGTTGCAACACAAATTTGACCTGCATTTGTAAATTTTGAAAATAAAATTCTTTTAGCAACAGCATCAATATTTCCCTTTACTGATTTTGTAACAAAACTTGGAGATTTACCACCAAGTTCTAAAACAACTGGTGTTAATTGTTCAGCTGCCTTACGTGCAATGATTTTACCCACTGTTGGAGAACCTGTGAAGAAGATTTTATCAAATTTTTGTTCCAATAAAACATTTGTTTCTGGTACTGCACCATTAATAGCACGGAAAATAGATGGATCTAAAGCATCAGTAAGAATTTCAGTTAAAACTTGAGAAGTATTTGGAATTTGTTCAGATTGCTTTAAAACTGTAGTATTACCACCAGCAATAGATCCAATTAATGGTTGTAAAGTTAAATTAATTGGGAAATTAAAAGGTGCAATGATTAATACTGTACCTAATGGAATTTTTTCAATTTTTGGAGAACTTGGTTTAAATAAGAAATTTGTACCTTTTGCATTTTTTGGTTTAGTTAATGTTGGTAATTCTTTGATTAAACTTAAAATATCACCATAAGTAACAGCAAGTTCTGTTAATTGAGTTTCAGATTCAGATTTGTTCAAGTCTTTTTGAATAGCTTTAATAATAACATCTTCATTATCTTTGATAGCATAGTATAAAGCACGTAATTGATTTAAACGAAATTCAATTGAACTTGTCTTTTGCTGACGGAATGATTTCTTTAATGCGTTAACGTGTTTTGGGATCTCTTCCAATGGAGTATAATCTAAAAGTGATGACATGGTTATCTTTGTGTGGTATGTATTGGCTTCTCAAGGTTGAATCACTAATAATGATTAGTTGAATTGATGAAATTAGATATCTTTCTTGTCTTATAAATACTATAACAAGTTCAAACGTTCAAACAAGGCCCGCATGTAATCGATTAATTTTTGGTTATATAGGGATTATGTAACCTGGAGTAATAACGTAATAACCCGATTAAACGCGAGAATCTCATGAAAGGCTATTGTAGATTGACTAATCAGTGTCAGTAATTAGACTGATCTAAAAGTGTACTGGTGTGTTACAGAAGGTAATTATCACATGTTGCTCTATGTGTTAAATTGGTTGCACCCTTGATGGCCAGGCTGTTCTATCCAAAATATTAAAACCTAATCAATGGTTATGACACATGAATCAGTTGAAAGGTAATTTAGCAAGATATGCTACTTCGCTTGTTTAGTGTGATTATTATTTAACAATGCTTTGATATGATGATCTGGACCTTAATCTCATCTCATCAAGGATAAACCAACAAATTATATAGCAGCAAAGTTATACAAATGCGTTAGAACTTATTGTACGTCGCTTCGTAATATAATTCTACTCCAAAATATCTAAAAATGCAAACGAATGACTATTTTAAATTAACCTATAAAACTAAAACCCTTAATCTAAAAACAAAATGAAACCTAAAAACATAAACCATGGTTTACCCAATTGGTGCTATTGAATTCAAAAACACCATACCCATCATAAACAAAAAGCATTTGGTATATAATTGATCATCTTGGAAATCGTAACATGAAAACATGGTGTTGAAGTCAAAACTGTGCTGTAAAGTAATAACATAAACTCGTAGAAATTGGTATAATCATAAAAAAATAAATAGCATCAACAATTGAATAAAGGATGGATGATTTTGAATCTAAAACTTGAATCCCTCAACATCGACCATGCAAAGAAACCAGCATCTTTGGAAAGCACTATGGCTCTAATAATCTTCTAATACTTAATAAATAAATGATGCATAATATAATCAGTCAAGCGCCCTGTTTAACTTAATTGGTTTTCAGAGCAACAGCTTCAGCATCATTTCTTGCAATATTTGATTTTGTATAACTGAATAATGAATCTCTAGCTTCACCTCTAACAACAGCAACTATTTCATTGTCAACATAGACGTAACCTTCATCACTTGATTCATCTGGGAAAATAGTTGAATGTTCATTACATAATGGTGATTTGATAAATTCTTCATAACCTTCAGTGGTTGTTAATTCAACTGGAGCGGTATTGATAACTAATGGCATTGTGATCTTAATTGTATTTGTTCTTTAACTTATTGATTTCAATAATGTATGGATTATATGAATAAACAAGAAGAAAGATTTAAAAAATTGGGAGGCAAACTCATCTCTTTATATACTTTCCCAATTTTCCAGGAGCTGTCTCCATAAGGTTTTAACAAATTCTTATCTGCTTTGTAATTGCTTTTGTGGATGACTTATAACTTACTTACGTGTGGCGCGAACCGAAAAGCATCACCATACAAAGTGCAAACTTCCTTCTAGAACCCCAGAGAATCCCTAATCAAACGGTGAAGATTTGAAGAGATTTGTAAGGATCTTGAGCTATTGAGATCAGGATTGTAGTCCATCCATCTCTTAAACAATAGTACACACAACCACAACTACTTTACTATAGTTCTATATGTTCTTTCTCTCCTCCTCTTAAACCTCCACTGACTAATCTTGCGCGTCATCCGGAGATTCATCATAGTACATCAAAATCATGAAAATTAATCATCGCAATCTCTTCAAAGCAACGAAATAGATGTCATAGCCAAAGCAAGGTTAAACTGACAGGTAGATATGATATAATACTACACTGAATATCAAAAACGTTTATCTTGGAGATCTAGTTTAACCATGTGATCATATACACAATATTCGTTTGAGCTAGTTCATGATCAAGTTGTATAACTCATGGACCTTTAAGCTAGAAATTTGATGCTGCAAAATTTTCTTATCACGTCTTGATTAGTTGCATGAAAAATTTCTAACTGATCTTGCAACTATGTTATAACTAGTTATAACTCTACGTACTTAGACAAGAATAGCATACGAACTATAGCTCGAAGAATTATTACCTGAATACCCAGTACCGAAATATAGCTGTATATTTGATTATAATCCGCTCAATAGGGGCATTTCATGTATCAAAGGTTTCCTTGTTAATGAAGAAGTGCTGTACTAGTGTTAAGTACTTGAAAAGTTGAGATCATATTGTTAAAGTGCGGTAGTGATAATTCCGGACCCCAATTCTCTCTAATTTTTGTACCCGAGTACCGAGTACCCGAAGAACAGTAATTGAGCGCGGAAATTCTAAAGGTATAATTAACTCGATCTAAAGCTTGAATAATATGATCTTATATAGAACTCAAAACCGATCCTTTAACCTTTAACACTAAAAATACGATTCACATGACTATATAAATATTTAATCAATCAGAGCTTATGGAAATTTGCAATAACAAATCGATCGGACACCTTCGATTCGAGCATGATTCATGATTCCTCAAAAGTTTTGAATTAATAGCCATGAATCATTCATTGTCGTCTTGGGTTTATACTATATATTACATAAAGGGCCAATGTTATAATGAGGAAAGGGATCACTTTTGTCTTTACTATCGTTACACTGAGTGTAATAGTTCTCAACCGCTCATGAATATTACATGTAAGCGGCTTTCGGACTATAAAGTTTTGGGTACAAATGGATGTTCTATACTCAATTAAAGCTAAGCTGAGTTACTCTAGGATCATTATAATATTGTCATCAAAATATTAGCGATATGAAAGCTATTGATCAAATTATATATATATTTATGTACTTATTGATTTAAAGATGATAAAGTATCTAATTGATCGGTATAATTCACTGGTTTGTTTTTGGTACTAGTATATAGGTTCGACGTATATTATAATGACCGGCTAATATTGCAATCAATTATGTTATCGGTTACAATAACGTATGATCAAATAATTGACTTCAAAATGGATTTTATTATCTGTGTATTTGTTGCTCAACTTCAAATAGAAGTTCTTGAACACAGCACGTTAAACAATGAGCCTAGTGTAGAATTAATCCACTAGATCTTTGATACGAATCAATGAGGCATGGTTGCATCTGGATCATAATATATCATTGATAATTGCTTATAGTTCTCTATAAAAATGCTACCAATTAATCATCATTTCGAAATTATATAGTTTATATGTCATGAATGTTCATGTTCTAGTCTAGAGTTTTGTGAAATTGTTCAAAAAGAAGATGTTCATAAATTATAATTAATGATCCTTCAGTATAACAAGATCAAACAAATATGTGGTCATAGGAAAACGTGCCTAATTCATGATTCAATACCACCATATGGTCCATCAGCTTAATATTAGCTTTTTTAAAGTATTTTGATTATCTCTAAGTTCCAATTCCTCAATCTCTGTTATGAAGTTCAAAACAGGTGTAAGAATTAACTGACATCATCCATCATGACATGGTCATTTGTTGATGGTTTCAAGATAATGCAATTAATTAAACTGCACCCCAAAACAAATAACAGTGGATATTACTTTGTCTTTCTCCCAGTTGAGGTTCTAACTTCTAACTTCTCAGAGGTTTTAAATTAACCTCAAAACGTCATCTGAGATAACAGGAAAAGTGTAGACGTTTCAAAATCACACCTTTGACTGACAAAAATCTATACTTCAATTCAAGTGACGGTACGTATTAATATAGTACCTTAAAAAACATTCAATATTGATTGATATATATGAATGAAATCAAAGATTTCAGTTGCTCGCTTCGCTCACAAAGTTGGGTATAGGTTAAATTCTTAATCCTAATTGTGGTAAAAATGACCGCGATTTCTCAGCTTCTCATCGAATAAGATGTAGAGGGTAAATAGTTAAGTAGTCATGCGCATTAGTACAAAACAATACTCTATTCATATCAATATTCTTGTAACTATTCAAGTATCAGTATAACGGCGTACTAATTTATCAATACTTACCAAATTACCTGGTGTATATTAAAGTCTTTCAAACTCCGACGAATCATTTGGAAACTAATTCATTAACAGGAATCGAAGAACCCATGATCAATTTAAAATTAAAGGAATATGATTTAAGGTCTTCAACTTTTCTTATCAAAGAAAGTACAAATGGTGCAATAGGGAGAACGAATCAAAGGTTCACGGCACATCACCTCGAGTAAGAACAAACTCATGTTTCTCAGATTTCCATGAAGAGATACCAAATATCAACGTATTCGATGTCAAAGAAAAGCATATTAAACACTCATTAGTGTCAACACCTTTTACACAATTTCAAAAAAATCTGTCGATCATCATTATATTCTGAGCTAGATTGAATGCCTTTAAGGATGAAGACAGACCCGAATTAAACAAACACAATATTCAAGAATATGTTTATAATCACGCCAGCTAATACAACCGCTTTAATAACACACCAAAAATATAGTATATTTTCACCAATATGCCTCTGCGCGTTACATTTCGTTTATAATTCATATTTGAAGCTGCAAAAGTAGAGCAAAAACACCGTTATCACTAGCTCTTCACCCAAATGGGCTAGAATAATAGCATGGTCACCTTATGTGATTCACATATAAGCTTCTTAGCGTTCATAAAGAACTCCAGTAAAGGTCAAACTGATACACAACTTTGTGATGAACACAAAATGGGCCTGTGATTTATCAACAACCAACGTTACAAAATTAACTCTGTTTTTATTATCTTAACCCAGCTGCAATACCTTTCTGTAAAATCGCCAACCGATGTATAACTTTCAATCAAAATAGGGCTTATGAACTTATTTCAAAGCTTTTAATCCAATTTAAAGATGATGATAACACAAAAATTGGGGAATCAAGAATTCACTGTAATTGACGACACCACAACAGCTTATAGGAATAACCCGTTATTCAAACAGCGAAAGCTAGCAGACCTAATGTAAAATTACTTAATATACTTTAAGTATTCCTTTGAGCATTGAAGTTTAATCCACCTGAAGTTAAAAAAGTACACCCTTGACCTGTAAATGTCCAAAAAGGCACATGTTCAGCTGGTTTCACTGAACCCAGCATCTTGTAGTCAATATAACAATAGAACAGCTGTCAAGAGATGGAGTCATGGAGGTGAATACCATATACTTGGAAACTATCTTGTACCCATAGACAGTCAAAACCGTAGAATCAGACTGATCTTCAACTTTAAAATTGAGTATCGATCACCATAAAACAATCCGCTATTGTAAGCCACGTAGGCGCTCCAAGGTACAATAACTTATCTAGCAACCTTCATGAACACCACGAAAACATTGGTATTAAATCCTCATGGCTTCAAATAAACAACCAAACCTTCGAATCAATAGCAAATGACCAAATATGGCTGAAGTAGCATTGACCGAAAGCTGAAAGCCTAAAATATCTAACATAATATATAATACGGTTTTGTATTCATCACAATATAAAGTATAGGATATTCACACATATTACATATGATTGATAGCTGAATAACAAATAACACCATGAAGACCAATTTTTCAGCATTGAATACAAACCATGGTAAAGCCCACCATATATATATATATATCTGCTGTATACCTGTCACAATAACCTGAGATGTGAACATGACATGAATAGAAGACCACCTGGAATATGAGTACAGTGACTTGGTCAACATTTAGCACGTAACCCAATTAATACCCATACTTCAAGTAAATATTTAGCACCACATAATTCTACCAAGAGGTAGATAAATAGGGACCATCTTCATTGGGGTATACGAAGTCCCAAATAATTAGTCTCTAAAGGTGATATTAGAGCGTATAAATATCTCAAATGGGAATTTAGTGAGGTATGGAAATGTGCGTACACCTGTAGATGGTTAAGTTGACACAAAATGTAACGAACGGTATCTAAAAGACATAATCTTTAGCACAGTCCGCACAACTCATACATCAATGACTCTGAAATTAACATTGTAATGCGAGCCATCAATCCAAACTTTCAACCATTTAACCACTTTCACCTAAGATCCAAACAGAATCTTCATAGCACCTCGGATAAATAACCACTCATTTAGTTCAATGGCAAAGGACCAGACCTAAAGCGTAATTGACTGAATGCTGATACCTCAAAGCATCTCACATGGAGAGTATAACATAATGACACAAACCTAATAAGGTTGACATCCTAGTAGTACGAATATCCACATGTGACTGAGCTA